GTCTGTGAATTTGTATTCCTAATGCTGGAATGTACTTTCCTGCATACGATTCTCCCGCAATAAACAGTGGTGCATCGTGAAGCTCAGGGAATACTTGGACAAACTGTTGGAGAAACTCGTAAAGTTGCTCCCCAATCTAAAATTATTATATAATTTTAATATTAAATTATTATATATTATTAAACATTTATAGAAAAATTCAGTTAAGTAGTGTAAAATGTAAAGTACTCACAGCATCTTCATCGGAGATATAACCACGATAGTCAGTAGTAAAACTGAAGCCGGCTCCAACTGGGTTATCGATAAATAATAAAGAGTAGTCATTTGCCCAAGTTATATTTCTCAACTGAACTGCAATGTTTATGAAATTCTTTAAATTAATATAATTTTGTTGGATATTGATGTTTCATTCAATCAAACTTTACAAGTGGAGTACCTTTGTCATGTTTTAAGTGTATAGGACCAATAAGAATAAAAAGTCCGAATAAAGATGAGTAACCAGGACCTCCTTGTAGCCAAATGATCCATGGTGTTTCTTTCGATTGTTCAGGATGAGGAAAATACCAGAAAACATGTTCGAATTGTACTGTTCTTTTACGGTAATGAATCCTGAATAACTTACGACTCCTTTAAAATTGTCAGAGTTCACTTGCGATAAATTTCTAGCCAGCTCGACACTGCCGTTCTTTATTAGAGCCGTTAATATGAGACAATTATCACATGTGCTTTCAGCATTTACAATAATATTGTATTGGGATAAACTGTAAAAATTAATAATTTAAAATATATATTTTAAAGATTATTCGTAAAAAATGTAATAATAGACCCCCCGATCGGTATCCCCATTTGGGGCAAGTCTACTGACTTCCCCATATGGGATGTTATGGCGGGGCACCAGTGGAGGATGAAAAGGTGAACAAGAGGTCATGTGAACCCATCGTGACAAATTCAACAGGAATTTATCGTATTATGATGGTTACCAGGGGGCATTGGCGTGGAGATCAACCTGACATGGTACATCGCTAGCAATGGGGTTATATAAGTCCACATTACTAACAATCCATGAGTCTATCCACATTGCGTTGAGTTTAAATATAACGTGACAGAATCTTAAAATCGTGGCAACGACGTATGCCGCTGAGTCTTGTATTACTGGAGCATCATTCAGTCTCGATTTTTCAGTCAGCTTCGAAGCCGTTTTATTATCCACTTCCCAATCTTGGAGCACATAGTAGTCTGGTCTCCGAACGTATACAAATTCACTGGTCGCACATGATTATACTTCGAGAAATCTGTGAAAACCAGCAAGCTTCCGCACTTCTGAGAGGAGCTACATTAGTCTCCGTTCTATACGCATAACGGTCTAAATGCGGAAATAGGAGTCTTTTATACATTCATATTTACTCTGTAGATAAAAACACTGACCATAAATAAAAAAATATGAGTTCGAACAGTTTCAACATGGTTTCCAAAGCTAGCAGATACACTATATGTATCTATACAAAAGTGTTAACAAATGTACAACAGAACAGTAAGTACAAATGCATTTATAACGCGTAACATAATTGGTGTTCGAATAGGTAAATCATTTAACACTACATAATTCTCGCGTTACGTAATTTTGAAAACCTTTTTAACTTTATGCGATAGGTAATTTTGAAATCTGACTCAAATTATATCCCGCATTTCTGTATATATATTATATATCTATGTAAGTACATATGTATATATACAAGGTCATCTTAAATGTACATTGTTAAATAGGAAATCCTAGTTAAACAATGTGTCAACCTATTTGAAACATTGTCATAATTTGTTCTGAACTATAACTATAATAACAAATTACAATAATAATTTCGATAGTGATCTGCGTATACTTGCAGTTTATTATAGTTTAAAGCAAATAATCCTAAATAGTTAATATTATTATAATTTATTGACTAAGAACAGGATTGGGAAAATATCCTTATTGAACTTAAATATACAAGTTCCATCGAGAAATACAATTCAAATAAAGGTGGAGTATATTATTTTATTAGTAATTAGAATCATATACCTAATTAAACGTAATAAGCAAAATAGTTTTACAAGACGGAAGGCTGTGTTAATGCTTAGAAGTCGACCTGACAACCGACTGGCAGAACCGAGCAGCCAAAATCATTGGTAATCAACGTCATGTGACAGACTCGACTCGGCTTTGCGGCGAGATATTGCATCTCTGTACATTTCCTACCATACGGTAGGGGTACCTATATCACGGGGAGTGTTCTGAGGAATTGTTCGGATTAAAACCAGCTGCTGAGTTTCACCACCGTACCACCCGCCAGAAACTGAAATACCATCCTGATCATCTGGATGAATGACGGTCCTCCACAGTGCGGTTTTCTAGAAACTTTTTGCCACGCACAACCACATTGTGGAATCACCTTCCAGCAATGGTATTTCCGAACCGATACGATATGGAAACCTTCAAGAAAAGAGCTTATTCCTTTTTAAAAGGCCGACAACGTACTTGCAATTCCCTTGGTGTTGCTCATGGGCGGCGATAATCACTTACCACCAACTGAGCCGCATGCTCGTTTCTCTTGTCTCGTGTTATATATATAAAAAAAGCTAAAACGTCAGTAGCAATTTTCTTTATGTTTGTTAAAAAAAACGAGAAATTGAGAGACGGAATTCTATGTTGTCGTATGCGCAATACACACTAAACTAGGTTTTTAAAACAAAATCCACCGCGTCAAATTTAAATTAGAGCGGAAAGATTCACTGATATACAGAGAATACCATTTCACGTAAACTTCATAGTATATACATATGGTCATTGTAGTATTATGTGTTTTTTAAAGATAATAAATTACAACATGTTAGCATATGACAACCGTGATACCAGCCACGCGTTACCATTCCAGAGACATAATTCTAAGTTTGAGCTTGAATTGTGAACCGATGCACACGTTAGAAAGTAAGTTACTTCGCTTCTGAAATAGGCAAGATTGAGGTAGGTTTACAGTCTAACTGTGATAAACAACTTGAGCCTGTTTTCTTTTTTTATTTCATGGTGGTATAATGCATACATGAACATGTATGAACATGTGACCCTCATACATTTCTCATGCGTTGCCATATCGATCATGCCTCCGTAACCTGTAATTTGAATGCTGAACATCAACCTTCAACTGAAACGTATCTTACAAAGCAAGAATTTTGCCAGCAGAAGAGGATAGACAATAGTACTCATAAATATAATATTATTGTGTTGACACTATACAATTCAGAAATAAATTAAAAGTGTATTTGTGAAACGTTTCCATAATTATTTGTCGGTTTCCGGAAACTTTCTAACATTTCCAACATAAAACGGTAAACCCGTTATTGAAATACTTCACGTGGACACCTGTTTAGATGCACTCGTTATAACAGGCTATAAATTAATCTGATCATCAAATATAGGATATAAAGTAATTTTAAAGTACAAAAAATAATAAAATACTTATTAATATGCAAATGTCATGGAACTCGTTCAATTTAAATAGATATTATAGAAAATATATTTAATTAATCCAAGGGTGTTGAACTCTGCTGTGGAATACCTAAGTCACACTTATCAACTGCCACCGAATTTGGCAAATGGTCATATATTTTTCAATTGATCAAATATATAGCAAATTGCCGCTTTGCACGAAACATAATATATTCTTTTTTTGTAAACAAGCCCCCAAGATAGCATCATGGCCTAGTAATCAAACATCGTGAGTTGCCATTCCGGAGTACTGACGTGTCATATATAAGGAAATATCTTTAGAGTATAATTTTACTGTTATAACATCTCACAATTTATAATGGAATCTGTTTGGCGGCTGAAATAGTTGAGACAGACAGGTAAATATGCCCAAAACCAAAACAAAAAAAAATAGAATATTTCTATAGTTAACTCTCCAGTGGAAATACCAATAATAATATTATTAGAATATGACAATCTTAAAAAATCAGATAGGTGCTACTGAAATCGTTGTTCATGGTAGGTACGAGGACTCTACGACCCATTGACTCTATAGTCACTATTCCCTACAGTACGTGATTAAATTAATAAATATTGTTCCAAAACCTTTTTATTTTTTCGAAATATTTTATCTTTTGGAGAAAATATTTCAGTTTCATAACTTAGCCTGTAGCTTTTTAGTAAAATTTGCTGAATAGGTATTTTTACGTGATGTCAAAATAGCTCGTTATTAATTTGCTGAATTAAATTATTTTTTCTAGGAGGTATTAAAAATATAAGATCACTGGATAAACCCATCCGAATTGAACCGTGGGAAATTTTGATGTCATTTGATTCACGTGAGTCCTTCGATAGCTGCTTGGTTAACTCTTTCACGTACCAACTGTATCGCATTGATGTTTACCTACAACAAATATCCTAAATATAGAGCAAATCACATTTGAGAGCGTGCAAGAATCTATCGTGAATGTCGGAGCGTGGGAGCAGGATTATGTTAAACAGGTCATTGGTACCCCATACCTGTTCGCTGCGTATATACAGGCTGATTCTCTAGTGCAGTTTATTTCTATAATATCTCAACTATTGCAACTTGCTATTAAACGACGGAACTATGCTTATGACACCGTAAAAATCGCTCCATTGTTGTATATTATGTAATTATAATATGTTCAATGTATGACACGTAATTTTAGTCCATAGCAGTTACTGAATGCAGAAGTAATATTTTATTTATTATCTACTATGTAATATTTTATGTACCGGTTATTTTATTTTTTCAACAAAAATCATCGAGTTAATAATACGACAAAAATGCTAGACTTTGCTTAATTGTTATCAACAGCATGTCATTTTGGCGGCTTTATATCACATCTAACTTGACAAACATATACGGGATTATATATATGGGATATTTACATAATATCAAAACAGAAAGCAGTGAAGTTTTAAGAACAGCCTGTATATAAGATCGAGATAAATTCAAGTTCAAGGCGCAAGTGCAAACGAGAGCCGACGTAGTATAGAAGGTTCCTGGCTAGGACCTCGGCATCATTCCGTCTTAGGGGTCCAGGAGAACAGGTTGGCCAACTAGTTTCGCAAGTCGCGTCACAAGATGTTACTGTGGTGGATGCTGCTCATGTAAGTTGTTTTTCATTTGTAACTATATATTTATTCAAATGTAATAATACCTATAAGGAAAATTATCTGTTTATTAATAAGTTTACAAAAAAAATCTATCTATATTATTTAAAAAATAAGCGATATGACAGCGAATTATAACATATTGCTCCGATTATTTTATATTATTTCCGCTTATTTAAACAGTTAAAGTTTATATACAGAAGGAGTGCAGAAAATTAATACTGTATAAAAAAATAATATACACACTACCACACGTTTGACACACAAATAATTCATTTAAATTTATTTTCCTATTTAATTTAAATGAATTAGGTGTGATCGAATTGCGACCATTCGACTTCCATTAGTTTTATTAAATATAAAAGAAAAATAGTTTTAACTTACCTTGAAAGCATTATTTTGAACAATCCTTGTCATTCGATATCAAAAATATTATCACCCATCGTGATGAAAACAATCTTTTACTATATTATAATGTTGAGTAAAACATAAACAGTTCTGTAAATGGTGTGAATCTGTTAATTATGTTATTACAAATCAGATTATATGTATAATAACATTAATACATTTAGAATTACTTTTCTTAATTGATAAGGCGCTGGATTTTAATTTTAAATGAGATTGTGCTTGATTAAATTGATGCAGTAACTAGTTTTAATTTAATCTTTAAATAAAATAATTTCTTTAGTGGCGTTAATCTTTAAATCTGATGAATGATATAATATTTTGCTTCAAACAGATGCGTCCATTTAGTGTCGGGAACTGGCAAAAGTGCCCCACCAGAGCTGCCATATGATGAGGCTCCAGACCCAGTTCTTTCTTTTATGGAACGGACATACACGACTGGTAGAGCTAGAGCTGCCTTCGAAGCCGGGTCGCCATTACTTCTCACGCCCTTCATTGAGGAGAAGAAACTGAAAGAAGCCAGAGAAGCAGCTTATGTTGATCCCGACTACTTACTCCCTGATATGGACAGCTATGCTGGATACTTGACAGTAAGCTATTATGTTTTTTCGAACTCTGGACAATTAACACAAAGCCACGTAGTCCCACAATAAGCAGAGCATGTGTTATGGGTACTCAACAGCTGATGTAAATACTTAGATATTTTTTTGTAAATACATAATATACATTGATAACATCCAGACCGATACAAACAATCATAGTCAAGAATACCAAAATTTGCACCGTGCGAGCAATAAAACCTGCGACCATTGGTAAGTAAACTGTGTGCTAAACCGTGAGATCACCGAGGCCGCTATTAATTTAAATTACTTTTTATGAAACTTTGAACGATAAACAAGTTGACCAAAATAAACTGGTTTATTAATAACCAATAAAATTAATATTTTATTTCACAGTAATTTATTTCTGTTTACAAAAATTATACCTTCACTATTATGTGACTTCAACAGACAAATGTACAATACAACAGTAATACAATTTCCGTTCCGCTACACTGAAATAGGGGCTTAATTCCGAAATGAGATCACAGGTATTTTTGTAATTTAAACAGATTGAAATTTATATTTCAATGATTTGACAATTGCAAATAGATAGTAAGTCAATGTTTACAACGGTCAACGGACAAACAAACATTCTTCAGTATTTTTAATAGAAATAGGAAGCTTACAGTTCAGTACAATGATATCTGTAAATAGAAATAGGATTCGAATATGTAAGTACACAAGGGGTGCAATTAACGATGGATAAAATTACAGGTCAATAAGGAGTACAATGCAAACCTCTGGTTCTGGTACTTCCCAGTGTCGGACAATCCAGTAGAAGAAACTCCGCTGATCCTATGGCTACAGGGTGGTCCTGGCGCGTCCTCATTATACGGACTATTCACAGAAATAGGACCTTTTGTAGTGACTGATGATCACAATTTAGAAGGTAGCAAGAATATATTGTTTTTATATTTTTTTAATGTAATTGTACGAGAAACAAGCTTACGATACATCTATAATAGAAAGTATTAACGATCACTACCTTAGAAAATCAGTTCTTAGATATGGGACCACGTGAGGTTTACGTGTCGGGAAAAATAATTCTGAAATTGTTGTGAAATATATGAATTTGTTTTGTTTTCAGAAATCAAATATTCCTGGGGCAAGAACCATTCGCTTTTGTTTATTGACAACCCGGTGGGTACCGGATTTAGTTTTACAGACGACGACCGCGGATACGCCACTAATCAAACTACGGTAATTACTAATGTCCAATTCTTTTATATTACATAGGTAAGGGTTAATTTAATATATATACCTACGTAAAGTTTAAGCGTTGCAAATTTCATCTTCGCTAAAGTAGTAGTAAGTTAGTAAATACGCATAATACAAAGAGACTCTTGACTCCAAATGTCGAGTTCCAGTCTAACCAGCATGTACTGACTCATATCAGGTCTGCATGCGGTTTACTTTGAAAACCAAAGTAACATGATATAAGGATAATAAGTAAATGATACGTATTATCCTCCACTTTTAGCCCGCCAGAGTAAACCGTTACATTTTTAGGACACTATTTAATATTAATTATATTACAAAAACATCTACCCTGCAATGAAACTTTAGATAAATTTAGTACAATAAAATATTTTTAATAACAAGGTCACCATTATAAGTTACATGTTAAACTATCAAGATCTTTACAACATTATTTTAATTTAATTTTTTGTAACGAATATTATTTCATTATCAGGTCGGCGAGAACCTCTACGCAGGATTGCAGCAGTTCATGACGATATTTCCGGAATTGCGTAAAGTGCCACTGATAATAGCCGGCGAATCTTATGCAGGGAAACACATACCCTCATTGGGAGTACAAATATTATGGCATAGGGACGAAGATGAGCCCATAAATCTTCAGGTTCGTATAATAGATAGGTAGATACAAAATTATATAGAGAATCTCTGTGTTAAGTAGTCTATGTAGGTAGAAATCTTTGTCTTAGTCGTTTATCTACCATCAAGAAGCTGTATTTTAAAGTCTATTTTTTCTGTTTAAGTGCAGTGAGAGATTGTAAAGAAATTACTGAAGGAAAATAACTTTCTTTGTTGATCAGATGTGTCGAAAATTTATTTGTCTATTAACACATAAAAAAAGATTACAATCAGAACAAAAGCATTTTATATGAGCGCGTAATTGATACAAAACCGGATTGTAACCCAACACTATGTTTGCCTAGGCGAGGCAATGTAGTTTCAAATGTAAAAATACCTAACTATATTTTTTCATTAGGGTCTTGCAATTGGAAACGGCTTCAATGATCCCCTGTCACTGCAGAGGTACAGTTATTTCGCGCGGGAGGTAGGATTAGTGGATGATAGAGTTGCTGACACAATGAAGGACCTAGAAGCAGCTGTCACCCAGTTCATCAAGGAGGGAGAGATGGTGAAAGCTTATGCGGTGAGTATGAAAAATAATGACAAAATTATAAAGTAGGGTAATTGAATTTGTCTGTTTATTTATAGATATTAACTACTTATGTAAGTACGTATGTACGTACCTAATGATTTAAAAATTAAATTCGGTATTTATGAAATTAATTGCCGTATCTCTCTCAATGTCCGTAACATTATACTAGTATTATTTATTTATTTCGTTCGTTTTGGCTACTAATGGTCCATAATCTAAATACCGTATTGACTAACATACCTACATATAATAATGAAATATATGTCTCTGTGGTCATGGCACTGACGACAGCAATCTGCTACGGTAGGCTGCTGTATGTAGCGCGGTAGGTGCCATATCACTCCTTTCGGCCAGTAGTCCTCCTCCATAAAGATAGACAGCACGGATTCGTTAGCAGATTGATTATTAATAACATGCTCATAATGTTGCCTAATATATATTTAGGTAATAATTACTAATAATAATATTACTAATTTTAACAAATATTTGCTTTTACTTTCAGTACTACAATTACTTACTGCAAGTCTTCCTATCAGAATCTCGTCTCTCTAACTTATATAATTATCTCGATGACGATATAAGTTTGGAGGGGGCTTACATGGACTACCTGCAGACAGCAGACGTTCGTCGTGCATTGCACGTAGGCAACACAAACTTCACCTCTATAGGTGTTGTCTATAGAAAGCTTGTACCTGATTTCATGAGAAGCGCTAAGATGTGGCTCGAAGAACTCCTTGAAAATTATAGGGTTATGCTTTACAAGTATGTACTATGTGATATTATTGTTTTTCGATTAGGCATTAGTTTTTTCTTTATTAAATTGGCATTCCTATTTGCATACACATATACCTAAGACTAGAGGTTCACATTTTCACTTCATTAAAATACAACTGATAGAATTTTTGTGTTGTTTCAGTGGCCATTTGGATATAATTGTTGCATATCATCCGTCGGTTAATTCTTACAATTCACTCGAGTTCTCTGGTACATCTGATTTTAAAGCAGCAAAGCGGTTGCCTTGGTATCATGACAAGAAAGTTGCAGGGTAAGTTTTTATGAAAATAGTTCCGTTGTCATCATTTTCCTTTCCTTGTCCCGCATCATGTGGAGTGGGCGTAATATATTTTACCTATATTCATTTCAGCATTTACTTTTCAGTAGCATATCATTCAGTTTATCAATATCTACCGAACTACATTATCAATCATGGCTGGCTCTAAATATGATAATATCTTCGATATTTTTTTATGTATTACATGAAATGTTTCTGAAACAGGTATTATAAAGTGGCGGGCAACTTGACAGAAGTAATGGTCCGTGGTGCTGGCCATATGGTGCCCGCTAACCAACCCGCAGCCAGTCTGGGACTGATCACTGCCTTCGCGCGCGGTATCACTCTGGAAGAGGACACCGGGTCGCTGGTTAACGTGGAAAAAAAGTCGCTGCGACGTCGTCAATTGCAATTAAAATAGTTAAATTGTCCTTTGTAATAACATATTATTATATATTTGTGCAATTTTTCTTACGATAAACTATTTTTTGTACCTAATTAGGAATAAAGTATCTACCTATTTCCTAAAATAAGATTATTATTTAACATTATAAACAGATAGGTACCTAGATTATGTTAGCTAATTTTAGGGACAGGAGGAGTTTTTAGCGAAAAGGTGTTTTTAATTTCTTTTTGTTGTAAATACAATACTTTATAGATATTATATATGCTTCTCAAGTTATAATAAACAGCTTAAATGAAAGGGTAGAATTACCTCAGTGCTAATAGTGTAATACATCAGATCGATCCCCTGATGGGCTAACTGACCAACTTCCCTGGTTCAAACTTTTTCAAATGCAAACAGACAGTAAGTTCGCGTCATGTGATCGTGAAGTGCGGATTTTCGTTTACGGCCATACTGATTTCATAAGTGCATAAGTAAGTGTTTTATGGCGCTAAGTCTAAAATTTTAACGCTTATTTAATTATTAAGTATACTTTTCTAATAATAAAACTATTCTATTTTATGGTAATGCAATTAATTTTTAACAATTGCGCATGATTCTTTTTAATTTCTAATTAATTACAAAACAACCGGTTGGGGGTTATACCGCTCACCTGAGCGCCATTACCCCTTTGTCGTATTTTTTTTATTGTTATATTAACAATAAAAAAAATAAGTCACAAAGAGGTAATGGCTCTCAGATGAGCTGATGCTAAGAAAACATCAAAGGATCGCCGCTAAAGTTGTTAGACCGAAAAGACCGAAAAAGACCTTCAATCTGCTAAAACTATGATTAAAATAAGTTTGTCCAAAAGAAAGAAATAAAAACATGATACAAAAATCTTTAAAGAAAAATTTACATGAAAATTCTTCAGATAGTGAAGATAAAGAGCACCTTTGCGACGATGACAGTGAAGACAAAAAGAATGTGGATGACATAAATTATAGTAAATGTATTATTTAACAGGAATTTGGAAAAAATATGAATTCTGGTATCGCTGCACCATCTGCGGACTATGGGCTCATGCTACATGTTCAGGGTGGGATTCGCAGATAGATACATATCTATGTGATTTATGTATGCAAGGATAAAATATTTTTATTTCTAATTTATCTTACCTCTAATATTTATTATTATTTTATATTATATTACAATAATTGAAGTATATTTGACATCTAAGCCTGTACTATATTTATTCAATTGAAAAAGGCAAATTTTACGTAGAAATCGGAATTGGGGATTGTAGATTTTACTTTTATTATACAAGATTGATCTTATGAATATTTCTTTAATGATTATATTTTACTGGTTATTAGACATTACCCCGTACCTATCTTGAGCGGCATTACCCATAGTCAGGGGCAATGCCGCTAAAACATGTTTTTTTAAATAATGTCTTCCTACTACTAGTAGAATAAAGTTACATGCTTTTGTTGTTAAATTGTTGGTTACTCGATAATTAAAGACTTTGTTACTTTTCTTAATTTTGATTTGCAATAAATAATTTATAAAATACACCATGTTTTCGTTAAATGAACGCCATTCACCCTTCTTCCCTATACCGTTGAGTGCATTATTCCATTCATTATGATCCATAAAAAAATATTGGGACTTGCCGATTGAATATTACCATGGATTATTAGGTATCTATACCATAGAATAGATTGAAATAGAAAGAATGGAGAAAAATACTAAGACTCTTGTCATTTTTTAAGACTATATAATAGACACTTCTGAATAGTCAATTTTTTTATTCTACCACTTATTCGATTTTCCTTCATGCTTAATTTCCGGTGATTTTATTAATTACCTAATATTATAAATTCGAATGGATGTTGGGATCGGTGAAATGTAGTTATTAGTTTTTTTTTTTTCCCATATTCGTCCATCTCCTTTTCAGTGATGGAACAGGCAAAGATCCTTAGACCGTACAGCCTAGTCTACTTTTAAACTTCTTCATATTTGAACAAGTGATGAGGCCAAAGGCCAATTCTTATGTATGTTTATTTATTATGTCTTCATTCGTGTTCAAAATTTAAGTCTTATCCGTAGTCCATATCCTTGTATCAATTATTTAAAGTTTTATCGATATCGAGGTAACGTATAAATATATAGGTATATATGTTTCAAAATTAGTTAGCATGTCTTGGATGTCGCGCGGGATTTTTTCCGGTTTCTTGTAAATGTTCAGTAAATTATCAATAAAGACCAAGCGTTGAATATTATAAGCGGAACATTCGAAAAATATGTGATTTAGGGTCTGACTGCTGTTATTGCACTCTTGACATGCATTTGAATCAATTATTTTCATTCGGCACAAATGACTATTGAATCTAGCGTGACCAAAACGAAGTCGTATAAGGAGTGTGTAAAATTTCCGATTTTTATAAACTCTAGATTTAGTGAACCAGGGTGAGGAATTAATATTTTTGTTAATGGAGTAAAACCAATTACCCTTGGTCTTTAGCGAAAGTTGCCACTGTTCAACCCATTTTTGACGAAAACTCTTGTAAACTATAGAAAGAATGTCGGAATAAGGTATGGCAACATCCTTGACAACGCCAATGTCATTGTTGGTGATAGTTCTTGCCAGGAAATCTGCGTTTTCATTGCCAAAAACACCAATATGTGATGGTGTCCATAATAAAATAATATCATAACACTCCAATGAAAGCTCATATAATAATTGCTTAATGCTATCTATGATATAATTGGTTTTATAATGTAGTTTGTTACTTTGAAGAGCAGTTAAAACGCTCATACTGTCTGTGACAATTAACCATTTTTTGCAATTGCCCCTATCATCTTTTATATAACAAAGTGCATTTAAAATAGCCAAAGATTCTGCTGAAAAAATACTAAATTCTTTATGTATTCTAGTTCCATGACCGGTTCTGATACTTGGTAAGTATAGAGCAAAGGATGTTCTCGATTCGTTTTTAGAACCGTCTGTAAATATGGATTGATGAGTTGAAAATGTAGACAACTTGTTATAAACTTCTTGTTTGGTCCTTAACTCAGAGTCAATTACAATATTAATATTTGGAAATTTACTTTCAAATGGTCCATGGTAACAATTCCAAAATCTATTGCTTTTGTGAATTTTGTATTGCTGATCAATATTGATTGAGTCAGAGAAATCATGAAGTATATAGGGAACTGTTTTAGAATTAGAAAGGGGAAATAAAGAAGTAATATGTTTGAGCTTTTGTAAGAGTGGGTCTTCAGAAAAGGATAATAATTTTAGGATGAATCTTTGTTTTAAGTACCAGAATCTCAGGTTTAATGGTGGTATACAGCACTCTACTTGTAAGGAATTTATAGGGGTTGTTTTCATTGCACCAGTTATGTATCTTAAATTATTATTCTGAAGTACTTCAAGTTTATGAAGCTTGTTTTGGTCAGAACCAAAACATAGATAGCCATATTCAAAGTGGCTGCGAACCAAGGATTTGTACAGCATTAAAAGGATCTTAGGATCACATTTATATAGAGCTTTGATAATATTAAATGCTTTGGAAGCTTTACCTAGTAAATAATCAACATATTTGTTCCAAGACAAATTGCTACAAAAAATAACACCTAAAAATCTAACTTCAGCAGTAATAGGTAGTTGTGAATTATTATATAATATTTTAATGTTTTTGTAGGATTTATTAGTTTTAGAAAATATTACTACTTTAGATTTGTCAGGGCTTACATCTAAATTGAGGTATTTAAAGTAATCTGTTAATCTTAACAATGAGTTACTTATTTTTTCTGTTACTTTATTAATGTCTGGGCCTGAAAAGTATATAACAAGGTCATCTGCAAATTGAAGATTCCTGACATGTGGTCCTAAAATTAAATTAAGTTTGTGTATGTAGAGGATAAAGAGTAGTGGACTAAGTATTCCACCTTGACACACACCTTTATAAGAAAGACGAGGTCCTATTAACTGCTTGTTAACTTTAACAAAAACTTCTCTACCATTTAAAAAGTTATAGACCCAGTTTATAATTTTTCCAGGTATACCAATAGAAACAAGTTCCAGAGTAAGAATGTGATGATTGACATTATTGAATGCACCGATAATATCAAAGAATACCCCAACCAAAACTTCATTGCATTTAAGTGCTTTAAATATATCAATATGGAGATGAGTAACACTCTCAGAGGCAGATTTACCTCTACGAAAACCAAACTGGTTTGCTGGTAATAAACAATTACTCTCTATGTAGAATTCTAATCTTTGTTTTAATAATTGCTCAAATATTTTTCCCATGCAGGAGGTCAGGGTTATGGGTCTATAGGAATCTATTTCATTTGCATTTTTGTTTGGTTTTAAAATTGGAATAATACAATCTTTTTTCCAATCGGAAGGAATATCTGACTCTTTCCACAGTGCATTATAAATACATAGAACAATATTTTTAGAGGTATAAGAGAGGTTTTTTAATAATTTATATGGTATGCCATCGAGACCAAATGCTGTATCTCTTCGGGTAGATATGGCTGCATTGAATTCAGAAAAAGTGAAGGGTTTATTTAAATAATTTAATTTGTTACTATTTTCATTAATGTGTGATTTAAATTGGGTCTCGACAGTGTCAGGAGTATATTTCTTAAGAAAATCTGAAATCCAGTTATTTTTATTTGAAATCTGACTATATACATAAGTTTTATTGAATTTTTTAACAGTATTCCAAATTTTGGAAATGGGTGTGGTGCGATTAAAATTTTCACAAAAATTATTCCAGCTAATTGATTGTTCTTTTTTAAGTATTAACTTTTTTTTGGCTTGTAACCTTTTAAATGTAATATAATTTGCCTCTGATGGGTTGTTTTTAAAATGAACATATGCCTGTTTAGAGTTATCTACTGCAAGTGTACATTTTTCATTCCACCAAGGTAATGGAATCCTTTTATTTTTAAAAGGAATATCAGTTGTAGAGTTTATGGGTTTTGATTTTGATATACAACTTTTGTCTAGAGCTAAATTGAAAATATCAATTAATTTAGTATAACACTGCAGGGGTGAATTACTATAAGTGTAAAGTGTAAAATCTTGTAACAAACTATCTGTGATCTTCTTATACATGGTCCAATCTATAAGATTGTAATTATGAAATTTGGGATAATCTGAGGATACTGGTAATCTAGTGCAATTGCTATTAATTACTATTTTTGTTATTACAGGTAAATGGTAGCTACCTAAGGGATCATTATGTACCATCCAATTTGAAGCAAGAGATAAGCAAGGGGATGCAATAGTAAGGTCAAGTGCATTACTCTGCCATCTGTGTGATCCTACTGTAGTCGGTGTACCATCATTTAAGATGACCAAGTTGTTACCATCAATACATTCAAGAATGTCACGACCACGAGCATTAATAGACGAGCAACCCCATGCTGTGTGATGAGCATTAAAATCACCAGCAACCAACATGGGTTCTGGAATACTATTAAGAAGATTACTGAATTTATTTTTGTTAAAACGTGGACTACAATTATTTGGGCTATAAAAACTAACAACTGACATTTCTGTGTTTTTATATTTTAATCGTACCGCAATATTCTGTAAGGAATCATCACTATATGTATCAATTTTACTGAATTCTATACTTTTATGAACTAAAATTGCAACACCGTTATGGTCATTGCCTGAGTCTAATCTAACAATGTTAAAGCTTTTAATATTTAATTTATAGTAGGCTTTTAGCCAGGTTTCTGATATCAGAGCAATATGAATATTGTTCTCCAATAGAAAATGTGTAAAGATTTGTTGATTACTTACTAAACTTTGTGCATTCCACTGGACTATTACTATATGGTCCATAAAGAAAAAAAAATTAAAGAAACTATTAATCTGGGTTTTTTTTATTCTGTAATGTCTCTAGGAGAACTTGTTTTATATTTTCTGTACATATTGTTTTGTCATTGGTTCTATTCAATGTTATAATTTTAACAATTGATTCTAATAGGGTATTTAAAATTTGGTCAGAATTAAGTAGGGATATAAATTGTGCCGAAGGTGAAGTTTTGGTACTGCCTAATTGAGGAAATGATTTCTCTCTAACAATATCAGCATACCTTTGTACTTTATTTTTATTCTCCTCTATTTTCTTTTTCTTAATAGAACACTGTGATGAAATGGCTATATGATTACCATTGCAGTGACAACATTTGGCTTCGTTAATATTTGCGAACAGTTTCTGAAATTATGATTATTTCCGCATACTGAGCATCTTTAGCGTTCTTACAAAACTTAGCGATGTGACCATACCTTAAACATTTAAGACACTGCTTTACAGGAGGTATATAAGGCCTCACCACAAAGCGCCAGCTATTCAGGTCGACGGTGTCAGGAAGTACAGGACAGGAAAATGTGATGGAGACGGTTTTAGTTGGCTGCATTGTAAAGGTGTTATCATCACCTTTAATACGCCTCATGAATCTGCGTACACAAACAATATTTTTTGAGCCGGTTATATTAGAGTATATTTGTTCGTTCGATAGATGCGTAGGAACATGCTGAACTACTCCAGTTACTTCCGTGGCTGAAGCTGGTATACTTGCCTTTAATTTAAATCCGTCTAGAAATTTTTTATTAACTAAGGCTGCATTAGCTAAACCTGGGCGTTCAAAAATGACGCCGATCTTAAATTTATTCATCCTTAATAATTGCTTAACTCCTTTATTGTATTTTTTCAAATTAGTAGCTAAGGACATCATATCCCTATCACCGATTGGCTTATTACTATCTGTACTCTCCATAAATACAATGTATTCAAAGTTTCCACCATCCTCAGGATAGTACCGAACATAATCTGGTATTTGAAATGCCTTATACTTATCCACATCCTCAGGTGCCGATTCCGAGTCAGACCCTAGAAAATTAATATCATCGGATGTATCATCCGATATTTCCTCTTTCTTTTTTCGCTTCTTCCCGCTCCTCTTCGTCATCTTTACTGGTTTTGACTAAAAAAAACTCAATAAAATATAATTTTGCAAAACTAGCGCGAAAAAATACGTGTAGTCGCTTTGAAAGTTCCCGCGCTTTTTTTCTGTAATTATTAGTAAAAGTTTCGATGTAAAGTTGTAGTAACGTAGCATATGGCATAAGAATAACACATAGAGTATAATTTAAATTTATAGTTTCTAAATTAGGCGTGATTAAGTGACACGGAAGTCCAGAAAAGTTCTAATAATTAAGAAAGTAATTTAACAACTACAGTGGTGTGCTCTAGATAAACAATTAAAGTTGAAAGAAAAATGCATGGTGTGATTATTTCACTTAAATAATTTTTAAAAAAGTTGGAAAAATACCTGATCTATGTTTGATGTTTCTAGTGCCGAACAAAATATATAAAAAAAAAACATTCCTTAAAAAGTAAATAATTGTCTATGACTTTATTTGACGGCGATCATAGCGATGACGTTTTCGACGGCGACAAATTAATGGTCAATTGTAAATTGTTGAATAGTTACTAAATCAACTACCGGTATTTGTTTGTGCTCGGTTCTTATTATTATGACGTCTACATTTTCTTGTGTATACATCTTATGATAGGATAGTGTTCACTTAAAGGTATATTGTGGAAATTGTATTTTGGAACATCACATCATGTCTGTCATCTGTGCGGTTTGCGCATTTTTCCTATTGACTTCTGTAAGAGCCTTTTATTTACCCGGCTTGGCTCCAGTGAATTACTGTCGAGTCGGAGAAGATAATGGGAAATCGTGCAAGGTAAGTCCTATATCCTATACATTATAAAATGTAACCGTAAGTCAACAACATGTATTTCAGGCTTTAAGTTCAAACTGTATTACTAAAAACTGCCTCATTATTGATAACAGAATCAGATAATTATTACTCATAAAGTTATATCTACTTACCTGCTACTTGGAAATATACTTAGCTGTAATTAAAAGGTAATTGTCTATAATTTAAATTAAGTTTATAGGGGTTGTAGAGAATGTAATCCTCATTAATTTAAATCCATAGTCATATTAAAACATTAATATGATAATTACTTCTCATGAATCGCCATTCTGGTGGACTAACATGTCTCTATACTCTATTATATTTCACATAGATAACTTTGCCTTGGTGATTAAACTAAAATATCAAATACTAATTCCAGAATGAAATACCACTGTATGTGAACAGATTAAATACTGAAGAATCTGTAATCCCATTTGAATACCATCACTTTGATTTCTGCCTTTCTGATGAGACTCAATCACCTGTTGAGAACCTTGGTCAAGTGGTCTTTGGTGAGAGAATACGTCCAAGCCCATATAAAATCAATTTCCTTGATAATGTTGGCTGTAGAGCTCTATGTCAAAGGACATACAAGGCATCAGATCCGGAGTCTATCAAGAAACTTAATTTGCTCAAAATGGGAATGGCCCTGTACTACCAGCATCACTGGATCTTAGATAACATGCCCGTGACTTGGTGTTATTTAGTGAATGATGGAGGCAAGACTTACTGCAGTACTGGTTTCCCAATGGGTTGTCAAATTCGTAGGGATATGGTAAGTAATACATTTTATATTTACAATATATGTGAGTTAGAATATTTCACTCATCTCATCCCATCATTTGGTTATTTTGAAACTATCTTAAGAAACAGTATTTGACAGTATTAGTGATAAATAATAACTTCAAAATACTATCACAACATAGATATTTATTTATCTATATATAGTTAATATAAATTAAAGCAAAAGCACTTAGCACACTTATACTTATTACTGGTACTGTTTTCTGCTAATACATATATATATAGTAGGTTAATAAAAACGACTTAAATGTGTAAAATTTAAACTGTAATAAAATATTAGATTATGAAGATTCAGCATATTTTATCTTATATTTAAGTTATATATGTCTTAATATTTAAGTCTTTGGACTTGATTCTGAAAAGTAAAATTCTCAAATAAAAATTTTCTATACTTTAAATAGCCTGGAATCAGTTATAAATTCAGTCATACACAAAATAATTATTTTGCTATGGTATTGAATATTTACATTCATTTGAAATTTATTGGAAATGTAATCAAATGGGTCATCAAATTTTGTTCACTGGTTGTAGTTATCAACAATAATTGATTTAAGGAATTATTTGTTATATTTCCAATAAATCAATAAGTATTTATCTATAATTTTAACCAATGTTAAATTATCAATTTTAACATTGATAATTTTTATCAAATTTTTTTTTTATCAGGACACGTGTGCACCAATTGTCAATACAAAACCTTACAAAGTGGGCACTTATTTCTTATTCAACCATGTGGATTTGGAAATCACATATCATAGTGGTAGGGAGGAGGAGTGGGGAGTTGGATTTGGGGAAAATGGTGGTCGAATCATTTCTGCAAAGGTATGTATATTAATTATTATTATCAATTTTGCTAACACGAAATTAACTCACATTATAAAAGAATATTGTATATTAGTATAGTATATATAGGTATAACTAGTAAATTGCTACAAATAGAAATAGTTTTTCTTTTTCCCTATATATTCAGTAGATGCCAATAAATTTATGTTTATAAATGTATTTTATGAAAATAAATAAATAATAATTATTACTAAATGCTTCTGTTCATATCTTTTTTTGATATCTTTATTCTATCCATAATATAAAAAATAATAATTTAGTAATTATTATTTTTTACATAAAATCATGTACTGTCGCCTATGACAACCTCGATGGTCTAATAGTGTACACTGCATTTCATTTGATGGTTGTGGATGCTTTAAAAGAACATATATTCAGACATTTCTATCAGTTGTCTAGTATCCATGATACAAGATCTGCATAACTTTGGACTAGATGGCGCTATTAGAATTGTTGAGGGTTATTAATATTATTATGTTCAGTAATGTAAATAAAACACTACAAAAGCTTTAATTTTATAAAACAATCTACTAAGAAAATACTATTGCAGGTAAAACCGGCCAGCATTGATCATCAGAAAGCAGGGAAATTGGATTGCAACTTCCAAACACCATTAGAAATACCAAACACACTCACAGATGATATTGTTGTTACCTACTCATACAGTGTAACCTTCAATCCTAATAATTCCATTAAATGGTCATCAAGATGGGATTACATTCTGGAGTCAATGCCCCAAACAAATATACAATGGTTCTCTATATTGAATTCACTTGTAATTGTATTGTTCCTCAGTGGAATGGTTGCTATGATACTTTTACGTACTCTACACAAAGATATAGCGAGGTACAATCAGATGGAATGCGGGGAAGATGCTCAGGTATTTAATTTACTAACTTTAATGTTTATTCATGTTATTAATATGGCAATATTTGTGGATGCAATCAACTTGCAACCACTGACAGTAATGAAACATTAACCTTTAATGTACATTATAAACTACAGGCACAATGGAGAGAGGCTAATTGCGTAGAATAGAGTCCAAAATGTTCAAAATTTATTTCAATTCTCTTGTTTTTCATTAACATATAGTTTTTCATATAGGTATACTGTGTTTCAGATTAGTCTATTATCATTAACTGTAGATACAATAGTTTTAACTAAAATTTGTCTCATCAGGAGGAGTTTGGCTGGAAATTGGTACACGGTGACGTGTTCCGTCCGCCGCGTCGTGGCATGCTGCTTGCTGTGTTCCTTGGTTCAGGATCTCAAGTAAATATACTCTTCATACTTCTGTCTATAATTTTAAAAACTCTGTAGAAATTGATATAAAAAATAAGGACATATTTAATAGTTACATTAGCTCCTCCCCAACCAATGATCCCAACTTATTTTCACCAATTTCTTTTTAACAAAGTCCTAGTTTTTGTTAGTAACTTAAATGACAAATAGGCAAGGAGTCAATCCATACCCTGGGCTACTTAAGGGCTGGTATGGCCTTACTATCAAACAGAAACACCATTTCCAAGGTAAGAGATATGAGATAGAGGTATTCACAAAGACAATTTTGTGCAAACTCCAAGTAACTCATGTATGAAATACAGTAACATTTTAGAAACACCCATGAGCACAGATTATGCATGGATAAAGCCACCTAATTTCATGTATTTTAGCATAATATAACATTATTATCCACCACCACTTTAGTTAGAGTTTCTTTTTTTAGGTATTTGGCATGACATTGGTGACTCTTGCATTTGCCTGCCTCGGTTTCCTATCGCCCGCGAACCGAGGAGCTCTCATGACATGCGCGCTGGTGGCATGGGTATTGTTGGGTGCAGCTGCTGGCTATGTCAGTGCCAGGATATATAAGAGTTTCGGCGGTAGAAGGTGGAAGAGTAACATACTGCTGACGTCGATGGTTTGTCCCGGGTAAGGTTCTAATATTAGAAATTTTATAATAATCTCTTATTTGGCAACATTTTGCTACATGCAATTTGAAACATTAATATTCTCTTTTTTAAAAACATCTTGGGACATTAGTCCGCATTTGGAGTGGGATATTTGATAAACCCATACTTATATTGTAATCTAAGTTACATTCTCAGGACTAAATCACAAAATGGATCTTAATGTAATTTGACATGATGTTACAAGGAAGACGTAGACTATCTTTTATCAAAAGAAAAAAAGCATATTTCAAGGACAGGACACAATTATTTTGAGTCCAGCATTATTCATATTCTAGTGTATGTTAGATAATGAAATGGAAAACTTGAATATAAATTGAAAGTTTTGGACACAACATCTTCGAAGTTAAAATATCTCTATTTAAATTTGGAACAAGAATAATTGCTAGTAATTTTATATATATTCAAATGTTTCATTTCCGTGTTGCAGTGTGGTGTTCTCTCTATTCTTTATCATGAACTTGGTGCTGTGGGGGAAGGGTTCTTCAGCAGCGATACCATTTTCGACACTGGTGGCGCTGCTAGCACTCTGGTTTGGAGTATCTGTGCCACTCACCTTCATTGGTGCTTACTTCGGATTTAGGAAGAGGGTAAATTTACATTATTGTTTATGATCAACCATATAGGAAAAAAATCAAAAAAATAAGTGTCTTGTCTATGAGTTTTCATTTCGGTATCTTATCTAATATTATAAATGAGAAAAAGTGTAACTGTCTGTTTGTTACTTTTTCAAAATTTCAAATCAAAATTAAATCGACGTATCACAAGAACAAACAGGTAATGCTTTATATCAACAAAAGCTGGCGAATTCGCGAGTGAAATCTACAATTTATTTTAGCCGGGTGTTCCATCCATTAACTGTGTTTGCGAATACATTTTGCACTTGTACACACAATGTAATATGGTGTAGAAATTTACTACAGCAAAATTTGCATTGATAACGATTTGTATATGAAACTCCATATTCTAAGTAGTTTATTTAATTTTGTTTTTCTTTTAAACTATGTTTTACATCTTTAGCAAATAAGTTACGTTATTCCTGTTAAAACACTCCTGTTTGAAACATTTTTAGATTCATTTATGATTTACTACTTCGAATTTGCACAGATATTCTGAATTATGAATATCTGGGTGCAATATTTCTTTGTATTAGAAATGTTGGACAGAATTTCAGTCGCCCATAAGTTTTGAATTTATTTTATTTCGTATCGTTATTTTATTTCGTAAATACGACATCACACCGCCGCCTTTTGTTATATGTATAGTATTAGTGGAGGAGTTAGTGAATACATATGACTTGCATAAATGCCCGAAATTGTGTAAAATGTAATATGTAGTTATTGTTAGATTTACACATTGTCCTCACTATTAGCTATGCCATACTGTCGATTAAACAGGAAGATATCTCTTTAAGAAATAAGTACAGCTTTGCTCACATTGTTTCTAATTAGTTTTATCACTATCTAAAAGTGCAGTAAAGAATATTTAATAATAATTTTCGACTTTGGATAGACTTTAAAAACTTTAGATATGCTTAAGTACTAAAAGCCGTTTCATAATAGATCTATCTGTTTTCAGATACTGGATCATCCTGTGCGCACAAACCAGATACCACGCCAAATACCCGAGCAATCGCTGTACACTCAGCCCATCCCCGGGATAGTGATGGGTGGCGTACTTCCGTTCGGATGCATCTTTATACAGTTGTTCTTTATTCTCAACTCTCTATGGTCCAGTCAGGTATGATGAAATTTATGAAACCCTACTTAGTTTCATTAATGTTTCCAACCTATATTGTTTATCTTTAGATAAAATTATCTATTTATGAAAACTTGTCAGTAGCTTAGTTTGTATAACCCTAGATTTCTTATAATAAATAACTTAGGATATAAACTATTTTTCTAAAAATATAATATCTAATTGCATTTTTTTTAATATATGTTACCAACAACAAAACTTTTTCTATGTGGAATGGTTTTGATGTTTTGTTTCGTGGTTTAAACGCAAAATTAAAATAATCTTTTGTGAAAGAATCGGTACTATATGTTTGATGATTTGACAGTTCTAAAATTATTACAATTTTATTTATTTCCAGATGTACTATATGTTCGGTTTCCTGTTCCTCGTGTTTGTGATTCTTGTGATCACATGTTCCGAGACAACGATTCTTCTCTGCTACTTCCACCTTTGCGCCGAGGACTACCACTGGTGGTGGCGGGCTTTTCTGAGTTCCGGATCTACAGCTGGCTATCTCTTTATCTACTGCTGTCACTATTTCGTCACTAAACTAAATATCGAGGATGCGGCCTCAACTTTCCTCTACTTTGGATACACCTTCATAATGGTATTCCTGTTCTTCTTGCTAACCGGCACCATTGGATTCATGGCGTGCTTCTGGTTCGTAAGGAAAATCTATAGCGTTGTTAAAGTCGACTAATTCAATGTGGTATTAAATTTAAGGAACAGAAGCGTTAGTACAGTGGTAATGAAAGTTTTCTTTCATCATTCATTCATAAAATTGCACACAATGATTGTTTCTGAATCCTTGAAGAGCATGTTAATGATCAATCAAAACTTTCATCTTTGATGTTGGGGACACATTTGCATCTGAACAGATACAGGTAAAGTGATTGGCTATGTTAGAGTTGATATGATCAATTAACTTCATATTCTGTAAGTTAACATATCACTAAGTTTTTATACTATTGGCCATACTTAAAATTAATGTCATACGATGCAAATGTGGCTGGAGCATTAGATTCAAATTTACAATATGTATATTTGATTCTGCGAAGGATATAAATTTATGGTAGTTACAAAGGCAGTGACGTCCGCTAATGGCAATAGTGATGTCGGTAGGGCTATCATTATTATGTGAGACTGCTGTACACGATGTGTTTAAATGTAAAAAAATTAAAGTTTATATCGAAATTAAATCGATAAGTCACGTAAATTTTTTTAGTTATCAATTTGTTTTCATATTTATCTGTTAGTTGTTAGATGTAAATAAGTTTATGTAAAAGAAACTCTTATTCGAATTATTTATTGTTCATCCTTGACTCGTCTGCACAATGCATATTTAATAAAGCTGATGAGGCGATGGATCCATAGCTACGAATGTTAATAATTGTCAGAAAGATCGTACTTAAAGTTGTCATCAGTTCAGTAAAAAAAAAATTATTTCCGACAAGTAACATGATCTCGGAATATCCGAGTGGTTTCACCTTAGTCCATACCTTATGTTTTATCTGGGAATGAGTCGGCTGCTGGCTACTATACTTTCCATAATGCCAAAGATCGACAAAGATGAATAAATAATAAATCAGAGATAATGTGCTTATGAATGTACGTAAATATCTAAAAGTTACATGAGTACAAGAAAATTCTCCTCCACCGAGGTGAATTGAAGAACTCAATTGTAGCACAAATAAACTGCTTGCACATGGTACATGAGTTTTGTAAAATGAATTATCGATTTAACATTATTTAGAACATAAATATGATTTGTGAACATATATTTGTTACTAATTAATGGACCACGAGGCAGCCCGAATCATACTAAAAGTATATAAAAATAATAACTAGACTATTCCAAACACCAGTTGTACAAATATTAGAAATATGTAAATAAAAATCAATCACATTTTTGTAACAGATTTTGAATTTGTTTCGTTAATATTATATTTTACGTTACTAATAGTTGCTAATTAAAAGACGAAGAATACCAACACCAAGCTTCTATTGAGGGAAGAGCATAATTGCAATAACCATATATAGAACCACATAGCAATGACGTTTTGTTCAAATTAAATAAAAAAATAATATAGCAAAAGAATTTGTGTTAATGAATTTAAAAAAATGCGTAGACAATAATTTGGCAACACATATTTACCTATTTATATTCCATCTACTTCATATGCGATACTCTATAGTAGCAGGTACCTGCTAGATACGTCAAGTTCAATGTGGTGCAATTTCAGCTACATTTTCTTAAGGATTCTGTCAGTATTTATAAATCATAACAGGTTCTTAGTTCCATGGGAATTCAAATGTGAATGATTCCTTGATGTTAGATTTTGTTACATCATGTCACTCGTTTTTATTAGGAAAAAAATAGTATAACTGTGTACTATTATTATAATTATTTCTGTCTGGCAGCCCTTTTGTTTTATTTTTTATATATATATCTATATACTGCAGTGCATTTTGTTGGGAAAAATAAAACAATTCATTGGCTGTCTATGACATTCCTATCAAATTGGTATCACATATTAGGGACTAGGTCTGTCCATTTATCATTTAAGTACGTTATGTGTGTATTTATTACGAGATTTAATTTTAAACTAATATTATGTTAAAAATTATGCTTAACTGGAACAGTTGAATGTAAACAATAAATTGACTATTTTATATTAATAGTATTTTTATTTAACAAAAATATAAAAAATAAATAATATAGATTTTAGGGTGCATGCATTATACACTATCACTATCTTCAGAAAGGTTGGCTTTTTCTTTTGGTAAAATAATTCTCTTTTTTGTAACTTTGCTTTTTCTATCGAGTTTTGTTGTTCTAAATATTTCAATTGCTTTCAATTTATTTTGTAGAAGACATTGTTTCTCTTTCTCTCTTTGAGGTATTACTTCTTGGACCCTGTCTAATTTTGGGATGTTTATTTCTATAGTTGATTTACCATCATCTTGAATTTTTGATACAACTTTTATACCAAGATTTTTAAGTACTTTCTCTTCATCATTTTTCTTTTGTTTGGCTTTTGATGGGACATTAATGCTTGTTTGATCTTGTACATTACTTGTGCTAGCTTCAGTGTTATTTGGTTTCCTTTTTCTTATTTTCTTTTTTTCCTCAGTTACTACTGTGTCTTCTAAAGGAGCCTCTGGTCCCATTTTTCTTATGGCAGCTTTAACTCTCTTACTCATACGATCCTCTAATGATTGATATTCTACTTTCTTTTTAAAATAGTTATGAATATTTTTTTGTTTTTTCCGATCTAACATTCTACTTAAAACTGGATTGATAATTTCATCTAATTTGCTTTGTGACCAACCGAATTTAGCTTTAGCATAATCTCGCAATATTGTTATATCTATTTCTCCCCATGTAAATTTTTCTTTGCTTTTTTCTACATTCGGGTCCAGGTATGCTTGAACAACCTAAAAGATAGAGTAATCTTTAATTGCTATGTTGTTGAGTTGTTACTTGTATGAAGACATGTTAGAACAGTGAACTGAGTTTACACAACTAATAGTGTGATAAAAAATATTATATCGAGAATCATTATCGCGCTTTTGTTTTAATAGTAGTTAATTTTTCAATAGTCGTTATGCTGTTTTTTTTAAATGTTTAAACAAGCCAAGATTTTTGTCTAAGAACAAAATATATACAACAAAAATCTACAAAATCCTGATATCAATATAAAATAGGAATTGATATTTGAGGATAACTTTTAGTAACATTAAGTTTTTTATTATTTCTAATTTAAGAAGTAAAATTAACAACTCACCCGAATACTAGGAAAATCATCAGTAACATTTACATTTTTCAGCTTTTTCTTTAGGGTTATATTATCCGTTCTTTTACCAGCCCGTACCCAACTCTTGAATTCTTGTAATCCAGTTACAACTTGCTGGTACCGACCCTGTTCAGTAGACTCATTGATGAATAGCCGTTTGTTGAATGGAAATGATGCTAATATTTCTAAAGCAGTCACTGGTCCAACACCAGTTAAACCTGTGGTGTAATCACTACCTACTAGTAAAGCTAGCAGTACTAATTGTTCTCTAGAAAGATCTGAAAAAAAGGGTCCAATGTTAATAAACTTAAGGAATAATTAGCTGTGCCCTCATTAATAAAAAATAATATAGAAATAAGAATAATTTAATAATAATTCGTGTGTTTCTATAATTGTTTTATTAATAATGAGATGTGCCAGCTGTTTTACCCGCGTGAAATGTATAGGCCGTATTATTTTGATGTATAAGCTATATTACTGTAAAGTTTCATCATAATCAGTTAAGTAGTTTTTGCGTGAAAGAGTAATAAACATCCATCATCCAACCATCCATATTCACAAACAAAAAAAAATCTAATTAGGAAAGTAGGTATGTATTTTTTGTTTGTTACCTTTTCACAATCAAAGAATAGTTCACACGAAAATTTGTAAAAAGTAGATTGTAATAAATGTGATAAGATGCAACTACTTTTGTGATTATATTTTGCTTAAATTGGACCCATAAAACGTTTTTTTAACATTATATAGGCAGGTTAATTTCATTATTGGCTTTATCATTAGTTTCGTGTGGCGAATTAAAATATAGCGGCTAGCAGTACTTTGACTTTAATACATTTCTAAAATCCAGCGTCCATTCTTACTATTCTATGTATGAAAGATGATGATAGAATTACGCTTATGCTAATGATATATGTACGCTGGCAAGGCACCAGTGAGGCTTAAAAAGATGACCATGAAATCAGATCAGACTTCATGACTATATGCTATACACTACACTTACAGAAGCTAAGTTCAAAGAATGCTAGAAATAGACTACATTAAGAGAAGGAGTAAGATGAGATTAAAATTGTTATAATAGATAGTGTATATATACTTACTAAACGATTTTTCAATTCGACCAGATAAAAATTGAATGACATGTTTTTTTTGATTAAAGAAGTTTTTGTAAACAGTTTTTCCGCCAAACAACCAAATATCACTGTCATCAGTTATAGTACCATCTGTTAAGTTAACATTTTCTAGAAATGCACATTGAGCCTCCGCCTCCATTGGCGCGACAATGTAAGGAATTCCAAATATTTGTAAAAGCTCTTGTGCTTCTTTGGTCATCTGTTCTGTAATGTTTCTCCCAATTCTATCTAATTTTCCCTTTTCGTGTAGCAACTGTCGCTCCTCAGTTTCTATTTCCTCTACAATAGAATTAAGATTTTCACTTGGAAAATTCTTCGATATTGTTTCGTTTGATATTTCATTCTCACTATTGACATTATTTGTTTTGTCTGTGTCTTTGGTTTTATCTTCAATAGGAGCAGGTGTTACTATATCAGAATCAGTTTTCAGAGACACATCTTTATTAGAGTAGAATGAATCAGATAAACATCTATCTTTAGTTTTAATTGCATCAACACTATTTTCATACATCTGTTCATTTGGTTTCTTGTTAACTAAATTTAATTTAGGCGTTTCTGTTATTGATTTCTTCATTGTATGTGTTTTCTCATTTAAAGTGATATTTTCTGTGGACTGGCCTAAAATGGGCTTAACAATTTCATCATTTTTTAAATTTGCTATTTTGGTTGTAAAAACATCTGCGAATATATCATCGTCGAACATCTTATCCGTTTTCAATGTCAATTCTACAACAGCTTTGTTTGCTACACTATCCACATCAGGAACATCTTCAAAATCTTCACTATCACTAGAGTCACTTTCTTTCTTATTTTTTATATTTATATTCAGATTTTGTTCAGTATCATCTTCAGTGCTAGAATCAACAGTAATAACATTTTCCAAAGATTTTTCAATGCACACTACAGATAATTGTGTAGTGTTATTTATGTCCTCAATTCCCTCATCATCAGAAGGTGTTGCCTTAATTTCCTCTTTGACTTTTTTTGAACTTTCAATAATAAATTCTTCATCACTAGACACATCTATCTTGTCAATAATGATAGATTTCTCTTTACTAAGTTCCTCTAAAACAATGTCAACATTCTGTGCTTTTGATTTGTGTTTATTTTTTGAAGTTACCATATCATCTATAACTTTATGTGTAAAGTCACTATATTGCATTATATAAGCTTTAGCTGAAGTCATATCAGGCTGATCAAATCCATCCTCTTCTTCTGAATCATTATATGAATCAGAGTCTGTAAGGACAGATGTCCAAGAATCATCTGTTTTAGAAGTACAAGCACTGTTATCAGGATCTTCTACACATTCTAACGACATCTTTATTGCTCTTTGTAAATCATCTTCTAATTCATCTCTGTTAGACGATTTTTCTTCATTTCCATCACTCTTTTCTTTTACATTTGTACACATTTGTTTTGAGTTACTTTCAGCTTCTTTCTTCTTTTTAGCTTCTGATAATGCTTTTTTTACATCATTGATAAGCACAAATCGAGTAGTATTATTGGAAGCAATGCGTCGTGTATGTAAGGTATCAATTTTTGTATCTATTCCTTCTTCATTTAACAAAGATTCCAATTCATTTAGGGACATACCAGTATCACCCATCTCTTTCTCTGTCTCTTGTAAGCATTCTTGCACCTTTCTCCTCTTTAATAATCTTTGCATCTATAATAATAAAACTAAATAAATTAGCTATTTTGTAATTAATAATAAATTTGTAAATAAAATCAACTTACTTGGAAATCAGAAAAATTATCACTTTTCTTTGGTAACTCATGAATTTTTCCCCAAGAGTTCATTTTTCTTGTTTCCTTTAATTCAATGAGCAAGTCATACTTTTCTTTAACAGGTAATGATTTAAAGTTTTCAGACTCTACATCTACTGAGTGTAAATCTACAATTGAACCACTTGAAGTTTCATCTTCTGATCTAAAAAATTATTAGAATTTGTTATTAAAGCAAGTTTAAACATTTTATATTTCAGCTTAGTTAGAAAATGCTTACTCTGATTCACTGTCTTCTTGTCTTGCCGGCAGTGCCGGTAATTTAAATAAATCATCTTGTGCAGCTACATCAGAGGAATCTCTCCTTGGTGATATTTGTTTCCCCAATAGGCTACTTATTGCTGTCTTCTTACTCAATAATAAAGTAAGTTCACGCTTAATCCTTTCTGATTCAGAATTATATTTAGATTTGTTATCTTGTCTCTTAGCCTACAAAAAGAATGTTTTATCTTTATCTAATCATAATAATGATGTCACTGATAGAGAGGTACTATTTCATAACAAATAAAACAAAAAACATACAATAGTTTCTTTTTTCAAATCAGGGAAGCCTCCATCAAATACAAATACTGGCTTAACTCTGAAATAGAGCAGTTTGCAAACACGTTGGAACAATCCCATCAGGTGGGCGTTTGGTAGTGGTGCACCTTTGGCATCCTGGTAACCTTTTACCATTTGATGCAACCATATCGAAATATCTGTTGATAAAAAATTATCAATTGTCTAGGTGTACGCATTTACAAATATAATAAAATTCGAACTAGGTACGAGGATAGGAATCTCACCAACAGCTAAGACCTTATTTTCTAATGTTTCAACAGGTACGGGCATGCCGGCTGGCTCTATTAGTCTCCACAGTCCAGTAACTCCCATTGCGTGCGATTAAATTCCAGAACAGATTTTTTGTTTACACTAATTTAAATATCAGTGTACATAACAGAGGTCGTTTCCCACGAGATCTTCGGTCAATCGTCGCGCGTTCGGTCTCTTCCTCACACATCGCAACCTTTTCGCTCCATGAGTTCGACGTATTTATAACACACACACCCACAATATGAAACACTGCTACTGGCGCACTACGTTCATAAATATGTGTTCGGTTCACTACAACATATCAAATGTTTTACTACGCCGCGACGCCCACTCTTTCCCACACTTTATTTTCTCACGCCCCATGCGTAACCCCACATCCTATGACCGGCTGTCAGTCGCAGTATCGCCGAGCCACCAAACTTGTAACACTCGCAATATTCGATTGTGTTCGCGCGCGTGTAGTCGACAACACGCTTGCACTTTGCTTGTATTAATTGTCTATGGTCTGAATTTGACAGTTCATTCATCTAGCGTTGTCGTTTTGTATTTATTTTACGAATAAACATAGTTTTTAGGCTATTTATTAGATGCTTAAGTTTAAATTTGGTTATTCTAATGTTTAAAATAATAAATTCTTAAGTTTTTGTGTAAATTGTTAATAGCAATCCGTGGAATGTTGGTTAGACTGTCTGAAAATTCTGTCGTCGAACAGGTGTTTTTGAATGAAATGTGTGCAAAGGTTCCCACCGTAATTAATTTATAGTGTCGTCAATAATACAAAAGTGTATCGATCGCATGAAAATAGCTTGGGGAAGCCGGCTCGCGATACTTTTATATACGTATTGTTTTTATTCAGTGCATTAAAATTCGAATAAAGTCAAAGGACGCCGCTTTATACCCTGGAGTTATTTCATATCAGTGCAAAATGTTCTGCAGCAGTAAATGGATAGACAGCTCGAGATAGGGATACGGCAAGGGCAACATGGTGGGCCCATTTACCAGACCATACATTATGAAGTGTAGTACATGGTGAAGTGGAGCCGTGGCGAGCATGCCGCACCAATACGGCGCGGGCGCGGGCGGCATGGCACAGGGGCCGCCGTCGCCTCCGCCGCAGCACGGAGCGCTTTATCCGCGCTATGCCAACGCCGCAGGACCCGGTGCCGGAGCGTACCGTCCCGAAGAACGCCGGCTGACACGCGAGGCCATGGAACGGTATCTGCGCGATCGATCAGACATGGTGGTTGTAATTTTGCATGCTAAAGTAGCACAAAAATCGTACGGTAATGAAAAGCGTTTCTTTTGCCCTCCCCCTTGTATTTATTTGTTTGGGGATGGATGGCGACTGCGACGCGAGCGCATGTTGCGCGAGGGCGAGACTGAGCAGGCAGCACAACTCTGCGCCTTTATTGGTATAGGCAATTCAGACCAAGATATGCAGCAGCTTGATTTAAATAATGGAAAACAATATTGTGCCGCTAAAACTTTGTATATATCAGATTCAGATAAACGTAAACATTTCATGCTGTCAGTGAAAATGTTCTATGGAAATGGTCATGATATAGGTATTTTCAATAGCAAAAGAATAAAAGTGATATCAAAACCCTCTAAAAAGAAACAATCTCTGAAAAATGCAGATTTGTGCATTGCCAGTGGAACAAAAGTAGCTCTCTTCAATAGACTCAGGTCACAGACAGTGTCAACTAGATACCTTCATGTAGAAAATGGTAACTTCCATGCATCATCTACGCAGTGGGGGGCATTTACTATCCACTTACTGGATGATAATGAAAGTGAATCTGAGGAGTTTGCAGTGAGAGATGGATATGTCCACTATGGATCCACAGTGAAACTGGTCTGTTCAGTCACAGGCATGGCACTACCTCGACTCATTATAAGAAAGGTAAATTCATCAGTTATCCTGATTCTTACTTCATTAGCTATCCTACTGTAATATGAATGGATACCTTTATGACTGTAATAAAAGTAACGTGAAGGTGTTGTTGTTAATCACAAATATCATCAATGAGCCTTTCTGGGTATGAAATGATTACATCAAATTGACATAGCAATGATTGTCGACAGTTAAAAAATATAAAGATTATAAAAATGAATAAAATTGTTTAAATTGAAATATATAATACTGCAAGTTATGTTATAAATACAAGAAATATAATATAACAAATTGCAAAATATCATAAGAAAATGTTCAACCTAAATCTCTACAGTAGAAATACTTTTTTGATACTTTTTTTTATAATATTAAGCAGATTTTAGAATTGATGTCTCATCTGCTTCCATACTAAATTATCACAATGTTTAAATTGCAGTATTATATACACATATGCTACTAAAATAAACAGGACAAATTATAACATTTTAAGTAATTAAGTACTTTAATAAAAAGTATATATTCTGTTAGTATTTACTTACATAATGAATAAATTTTGTTCAGTATTTTACTTTGGATATGAAATATACAGTTATAGTATATAAATACAAAAATATAAATATATATAAACAACTTTTTTGGTGTTTATAAGAATAGAAGTTGAATTACATTTATATAATTAGACTAGCTACTCGCCCTGGCTTCACCCGGGTGTACGTGTCTTAGAAACCTTCCTCTAGAATCACTCTATCTATTAAAATAATCATTACAAAATACTGTTGCATAGTTTTAAAGATTTAAGCATACATAGGGACAGACGATGACAATGACTTTATTTTATAACATTTATGATAAAATAACATAGGACTATTTATTACTTAGTTATTATTATCATACAATAGCAATACACATTAATTTTATCAAACAAAAAAATAGTTTTCAAAAATAAATCAGTAGTTTTATATGGTATACATAATACTTACTTACAGATAACCATGTGGGAAATGAAAAATTTAGTACACTTATACCATGATATATTAAAGATATTTAAAATTTAATAACATTCATCAATCAAAAGCATTAAGTATATAATTACAAATATAAATTATAAATAAGTATATATACCTTGTATCTTTTAAACTTAACTTAACTTTTAAATAAACTGGAACTTTGAATAAATTTATTATATAATTTACATTCAACGGATTTAAAAAAGAAGGAATTTCTCTCTTTTCAATATATTTTAGTGTTAAAAAGTTTAGTCATGGTACCTTAATATTATATTATTAAAATATACTATACAATTACTTACATATACTGAATTTACAAAATTAATTATAAAATTAAGTACTAACTTAAATTATTACTAACCAGACCTTTGTCGACTAAATATAGCATAATGGGATCATTATCTACTTAATAACAATTTCTTAGCAAAGCTGTATCTAAATCAATTTCAAATCAGCTCTAATCCAAATTAAATTATCAAACTTTGCTGAGCAAACTGAAATAGCAGCTAGAAAATTACACAGTCTCTCAAACCATAATAATATTGACAAATTCACTGGTATCGGTTCAGTGAATTTGTCAATATTATTATGGTTTGTAAGCCATTTAAAATTAAGAAGAATAAGAATCAGTTCTAAAATATTAATATAATTTAATAAAAATTAATATTATCAGTAATTGATGGAACAGTCATGACTGGAATATTTCGAAAAAATATAATACTAAATCAACGAATCTTCAAATATTCTAAAAAATCAATGCAAAACCCTAATTTTAGTCCTAAGTATATCCTATTCTATTAGGTGATATACCTATATTTCCTATCCTTTAATATAAAAGATACATTTAAAGTCATTAATGTCTCATGTTATAATTGTACAAATAATATAGCTTGTCCTCTTCTTAGGACGGAACGAGTTGTTAAAACCACTTTCATCTCTATTATTATCCAAGCACTGTCCTTGTTTTAATAAAAAAATAACAGACCTTGTAGTATACCGCGGCGTTTCCCGCATGCAATACAGCTATGTTAGTATAATCAACAGTTTATCCATTACAAACAAACATACAAAATATTACATATTTTCTTTTTATAATGTAACTAGTGACCCGTCCGGGCTTCGCACTGATGCGTTACAAATCTTTGTATTTCTCGGCTTGTATTTGAATAAATGAATAGTCAGCGGCGGCGACTTTCTTGTATTTAAAACTTCTGATTCCTTTTAAGTTTCACGCAACATTTAGAGCTTTATTTCTGTTTTGGAAACAAAACCAACTAGAACTAAAATAGAAATGTTGTAATCATTAAGTATTTATGATGATTGATTACAAGCTGTTCTCGCGATATCGTCCGCGCGGAATTTAACTTTATTTATTTCTAAAATAAAAGAATTTTTGTAAATTAAAAGTAGTCTAAATTACCCCTTATTACATCAGCTACCTGCCAAAGAAGTCTCGTTAAAATCGGTCCAGCCATTTCAGAGATTAGCCGGAACAAACAGACAGACCGATAAAAATTGTAAAAAATGTTATTTTGGTGTATGTACCGTATTTACATTCATATGCATCTAGTAAAAAACGGTTATTTCATTATTACAAACACACACTCCAATTTTATTTATATGTATGGATTAAAGGCACTTGAATGGTCATATGAAACGGTGTAATGAGTTCAAGTCTGGCTGACTTAAAAAAACTGTGTCAATTCATATTTCGGACTGACTCCTGTGAAGGCAACACTGATAACAAACCAAAAATTTACCAGAAATACTGCAGCAGATTCTTGCCCGCTGCTATGTTATTAATACAACTTTTACACTACTTCTAACTATCACGCGTCTGATAACAGTCATACCGGTATTTAATTTAATTTCACATTCCTGAACGATTACGGTGGAAACTAATATCTTAAATAGAACCTGGAGTTTAATTTTGTAGCATTTTTACTATAGTGTTTTATTGTAAACAAATTTAAATTGGAACTTTTGGAAATACATACTTACATATTGACTATTTTAGAGTGCACATATTGCTAATATTTAATCGTGAAATCTGTAATTTTATTAAATATAATATCACACATAATCGGTATTTTTCCCTTTATCTCCTATCTGCAACCGTTCTTTGAACTACATATAAGCATGTCTTATGAGTTTGTGAACTGCTAATAGTGTCCACCCCAGTGAAACGATCTACTCCTTAGATTACTGTGAAATTATACAGTATAATATCGAATTTTAGGTGCTTATGGTAATGCTATTCTAATAATTGGTAAAATAAGGAAATTTTTAATTTCACTGAATTTAAATATTGTGAAAATTGTAAAATTTTGCAATTATACCTTCTCCGGGATTTGATAAGCAAGGTTATCTGGTCCACTTTTTTATATATGTGTATATAAAAATGAATCCCTATTTCCCTTGGTGACGCGAGAGTAAGTTTCTTATGAATGAAAAACTAAAAGGCGGAATATTTGTTATTAATTATACCAAAGCAAATTCAATATAATAGACAGGGCCCGATATTAAGAATAAAACATTTTTTAGGTGGACAAACAAATGGCGCTTTTAGAAGCCGACGATCCTGTCTCGCAATTACACAAGTGTGCTTTCTACATGAAGGACACGGAGCGGATGTACCTCTGTCTGTCCCAAGAGCGAATCATACAGTTTCAGGCGACGCCATGCCCGAAAGAGCCCAATAAGGAAATGATCAATGATGGCGCGTGTTGGACGATCATATCGACTGATAAAGCTGAATACCAGTTCTACGAAGGCATGGGACCTGTCAGGTAACTAAAATAATAATTATTAGGTCCTCATTCCTCCGTTCAGTATTATCTGAAATAAAAATAATGTTTATTTAGAAGAGCAACAGTTAAGTCAAACAATCTAAAAATAAAAAGTATTTAACAATAACAAGATGACTATTGTTTATAAAATTTGTGTCCAATTTTGAAAGAATCCAATATTTTTAAAAAGATGCGTACCGTCAGCAAGTAATATTGTTTATTATCCTGTTAGTTATAAGTCATGTCTTTAATTGCTGAGTCAAGAAATGTTTATTGTTATGCTTATTGGTCAGATTCACTAATTAAATTCGTAATACCAATGTAGATGTTTCTATGGTGCAAGAATTGAACCCGCAACCATCAAAAGAAACTTAGTGTGCTAAACACCATTAAAAAGCTGTAATTATTAAATTGGGATTGTATGTAGCTTTAGTTTTTTTATATTACAGTGGTTACATTGACCCAATTGAATTTAAAATAGAATCTGAATTTTGAAATCATATATAAACTCATTTGAAAAAAACCCGTATTCTTTTCCAGTTTCTTCTCAGTTCTTTGCTCGAAAGCACTCCGAACTGGCGGTTGACTTGACATATCATAAGTCTGTAATAGACTTGCATGAATAAATATTTGATTCATGGATCAGTGTTTATATATATGATTTTTTTTACCAGGTCACCAGTGACACCAGTTCCTCTCGTACACTCATTGAACCTGAACGGCGGCGGAGATGTGGCTATGCTGGAACTTGCCGGTGATAACTTTACGCCTTCATTGCAAGTGTGGTTCGGCGATGTCGAAGCGGAGACGATGTACAGATGTGCTGAGTCTATGCTGTGTGTGGTCCCGGACATTTCACAGTTTCGCGGTCAATGGCTGTGGGTGCGACAGCCTACACAGGTATCAGTTAAACCCTATTAATATTTAATATAGGTTTTATGTTGGTTCTTACAGGCCTAATCTTTGTTAATGTGTATTTATTCAGAACAACATTTATTTAAAATAGGAGGTACACACGCAACTGCTATATCATTTCGCATGTGATGGTTCTACGTTCCGAATGAGTGGTTGAATCGAAAAATATGACTATTCAAAAGTGCTTATATTAAATTTATTTGAATAAAGATTATTTCTATTTCTATTATTACCAGCTGTTTTACCGATTTTGTTGGGATGAAACTTATTTTCATCTGAAATACTAAGTGCACTTCAATTTTGTAACGATTGCAATTAGTGTGGAAAATAAATAGTTACTATTAAAATTAACATAATGTTACCATCATACCATTGAATAGATTTATTTTGATATACCAGCTATTGGTAATGCTTATTCATACAAGAAGAAAAGTAAAGAGTCTTGCTGTTTTTTGAATATTAAAAAACTTAACATGTTAATTAACATTTCGTGAATACAGACTATTTACTATATTATATATATTCAAGCTGTTATATATATAACTATAATTTTGAATTTTCATGGACTGATAGACGATCTTAAATTCACATTATATTAGTATTAGGGATATTGACATTTTAGTGACGACCTCACAATTATCTTTTACACGGTCCTCGAATATAAATAAAAAAATTGAGTCATGTCATTAGACGTAAATATACGCACTATTACGTTTCATGGGAATAGAGCCGTTTGCCAATTTAACTACAATGTAAACTTAGACGACCTCTTTAAATTGGTACAATTATGTCTACCACTGCTTCTTTGTTTAGTTTACTATTATATTGTACAATAACCAAATTAATGACCAAACCACAAATTATTACTTACATTACAGCAATATGATTAATATTTATTTCATATTTTTGTTACTAACATATTTTTATATAAGAATCTAATCAAATTAAAATTTAAATCTTAACACATAAGACGCAATTTTAATAACCGATGACTTTTGTTGTTAATGTATACATTATAGTTTGCGGTTCTGTCGTGATTGGTGTTAAAAATAGGTACATCTCGGAATGTCTGCATTTACCAGAATTATCAATATTTTCAAATGATTACTTCAAAAGAGCCCTTGCAGCGAACTAAAACATTTCTAATACAACAAAATTCTCATTATAATGTCACTAAAATGTACATAATAATAATAAAAAGTTCTTATAATATTTGTATGAATCGTAGCATTTCTCAATCCATTATCGTGTGAAGTTATAGATTTATGTGTCTATAATTATGCATCTAACGCTGCACCCGCTTATGTTGACGCTGACAGAGCAACAACATGATAAGATGAGCGTAAGGTTAGGTCAGTTAGCCCCTCGTGACAAACCCCAACAATGATTTTCAAAGGGGACTGCGTGGAGGTCCAGCTGACATTGTTAGGATTGGTCGCTTGTAGATATTCAATAACTATTAGTATCAAAAATATTTTGTTTATATAAATATTACAATGATAATGACGGCCTCAGTGGTCTAGCGGTTTAGCATACTAATTTACTTCCGATGGTCACAGGTTCTATTTCTCGCATCATAGGAACATTTGTATTCAAGAGTGTGATTGTATTCCGGGTGTTTTCTATGTATAATATGTATGAAAATTTTAAAAAATCTATGTATTTGTATCAGCTGTCTAGTACCCATAACACAAAGTCTGCTTAGCTTGTGACTAAATGGCGTTGTGTATTCACACAGTACAATTTTGTACTGAGTGAATATTATATCGTATTGTACTAGCGATAAGTTCCGCCTTCGCACGGATTACAAATCTATGAATTTCTCGCCTTTTCTGTACTATTATATGTATATGTTATATATATACTCTATTTATTCCTGAAAACTGCATTAAAATCCGTTGCGTAATTTAAAACATATAAGCGAACAGACAGTGGCGGCGACTGTTTTATACTATTTAAATATTATAACACGACTCAATTACATCTTCAGGTTCCAGTGTCATTAGTGAGGAATGATGGCATCATATACGCCACGGGGCTCACTTTCACATATACCCCGGAGCCCGGGCCGCGGCCCGTATGTCCGCCTGTGGATGACGTAATGCGGCCCGACCAGGCAGCCGGCTGGCACCACGACGCGCATAACAGCCATCGGCTCACCGACACCAGCCTCCAATAGCCTATGGACTGCAGGCTGGAGGAGGACAGCCTGCAGTAAAATGTCACAATTGCATAGACTTTCACAAGTGTTTTCGAATAGTGTTTGGTTCATAATGAACGCCAGTATATGGACTTTTGGTGAGTGATTTCACGATGTAATTACGTAATTATATTATAGTGCCTAATCTCTATTTATTGTGACACGGTTGATGGGTGTATAATGCGGGAATAAACGACGGCACGTGTTTTAAGGGGGTTGATACAGTTCAACTTGAATATGAATATATTTGTTTCTGATTTCCAATATCCTACAGCTATGCACACTAATAAACGATAAATAAACTAATTAAATTTCTTTTTACTTGCAAAGTGTACAAACTTTAGTAATTATATTATATGTGAATAATAAATAATGGTAAGTAATCAGAAATTTCAAATTATGACACTGCATTATAAACCAATTTTTCGGGATACAAATCTACAGTACATATATCTTGTTTTGTAATATTTATACTGTACAGACATATTCTTTATTTTTATTTAAAAAAAATGGACCACGATGTTGTTGCTACTTAGCTAAACTAAAGTAGCAAGCCGATCTGAACGGTTAGGATAATTATAAAAAATGTGACGTGCACAAAAGGCCGAGCGGTCCAATGTAAATAAATAAAATTATTTGACTTTAATCCTTGCACATTAACTTAAAACTGCCTTATATGAACCACAGATTGTACAAGAGTGTACTGAGATATAATAAATCGTGTCATAATGAATAGATTATTGAAAGCTTTATTATGTTAAGATTCCCAAATGCGAGTGAGTTTACTTGCGAAATAGGACTCATAGCAGTACACTGTGAAATTAAATAGTTGTGTACTTGTCTATGTGTACTTTTAAGTTCACGTTTTGTTGTGTAACACCAAAATGTATATATGGTAAATGTAACTTTATAAACATACGAATATTGAAATTACGTTTCTTCAGTGATAGGTTACCGTTTTAATTCCTAAGAATATCAAAATGGTTTTCTATCGGATAATTATGATTGTCCTTTTAGTCCTTTTATTTATTTATTAAACAGGGTTTTTATATATATTGATCCCCATTTTGTTTAACAAATATTGTGTAATTTGCTACATCCGAACGCCTAGTGCTATACTGTGAATATATCATGCACACATGAGGCAATATATCTGAAGATAAATTATACCTTACGCATGTGATATTGTGTTGGAATAGATTCTTTTTATGAAATAGAAAAATAATAGTTATAAATTAGCTGTAATTATTTCGTGCTTCTTTTTATACATACAAATATTATGAAGCAATTTATACCAATGTATCGAGCTCGTTCTCTCGCAGTATAACACTTGCGGTCAGACTGTACTCATAATGTTTACTTACGGAAGTAATCCATTATTGTCACCGATCTCTCTCTCTCTGCTCTTAGATTCGTTTCTTTGGGGCCAAATAGCTGTAGTATCCATGACAGTCATTGCTATACATTATCACTATTTCAGTTAATATTAAGACTATTTTAATGGTTTGGTTGAGTAATTTTGATACGACGAAGAGATTGTTTTAGGCGTGATTTTGAATTATATGTGATGTGTTTGTACATTATTTAGATTAAATATAATTACGAGTAAGACAAAAGCCAAATAAGTTCTGTTGGGTTATTGTATTTCTTAAAAATAGTTTAAAGAATTTCAACTGTTATTATTTAACTGTTACAAATATATCTTATATTTGTAACAGTGTTTAGCCACTGCTTTGATAAATAAAAGCGAGTCAAATATTAATAACCCAACGCATACCAATAAAGTTAATTGGTGATCACTTACTTCATGAACTGTCACTAAATGTATGTATATTTATGTCGAGATTCGAACAAGTTAGGTATCTTAGCTAGCTTTAGTCCATAGTACGATAAATTATCATTTTTATAAATTCTGAATTTGAAATTCTATTTATTTTATGTGAGTAATTTTTATGAAGGATTTATAGTGTTGGATTGTGAAGTGTATGTATTAGTGTAAAAATATGAAACGTGTGATTTTAAACATTCCACATGGAAATTGTAATAAGAAGTACAAAAAATTTACAATATTTTTGTAGCAAAACATTGAATAAATTTACGGAATTGAATACAGTATTACGAGATTAGAATTAAAATCAATTTAATTGGTGTGAAGCTGTACACACATTAATGTCAGTGTGAACTGTCATATCACATGGCAATACTGAATCAAATCCTGCGTCTAATTTTTTTACATGTTTCTACATTTTGGAAACGGCCACTTTATATAAGAGGACTATGCGAGAGGAAAAAAGTCAATTTGAAATATGAATATTTTTAATAAAACTGAATAAATAATATCTATGTTTTTTATTCAAATCTCCAACCACATACTTTAAAATATCTAGCTTCTACATCAAATTAATATTTTTTTAGTCACGGCTTCGGCACGGTAGTCATAATTCTATAGCAATTAAGTAAAATTCTCACAGTGGATTTGCGCAAAGCGGATCTCATTTTGGTTTAATTCACATTGTTTAATTAAAACGGAGGGTCAAGTGTAATTAACTAATTATGAATCAGTGTTAATCGAAGAATCAGTGCTCGGAGTGTGGGAACGTCTTCAAAAAGTCTTCACATGATAATAACAAGTGTCTTCCCCCTACATACCGTTCCGCACCGCTTGGTTTGACCTCAGATAATTATCACAAGTTTATAGTCATACAGCTATTGTTCGCGGCAGAGATTCAGAATAAACAGCAGGGGTTGATACATATGATGTATCTATTGAGAACTATATCTTTTAAATCTATTTGGAAATATATTTTAAACATTTTTAACTGTTTACATACTATTTAGAATGTTAGTACATGAACTTGGAAACTGTTTGTTCTTATTGAACTAAATAGTTACTTTTGCAATATATTAAAATAGGGGGAAGGGAATTGTTAGTAATGTAATGTAATGAACTAATGTAAACTAATAAACCATGTCAGGTTTACCTCCACACGGTTGCCTCTGGAAATCATCATGGTAAACTCCCATGTGCGAATAAGAACATAATTGACCTAACTTCATGCTAAACATACATTTAGAACTATAATATGATATCGTAATTACTAACGATAACAAATACATATTCTGGAATCTTAATTTTAAAATTTTTACTATACAAAATAACACTTCTTGTTTGTTTGTATTGTTATATCAATGCAAATAAGTAATTACAAAAGTTGAAAATTAGTTAATTGTTAGTAATATGATTTATATTGATTGTAATTAATTGGGCCAGTTGATGATTATGGAAGTCTATATCTGACATCTAACACGATGAGTAACATGATTCCTATATAAATTGTATAATCATCGTGCATGCAATGAATGACGCGTGGTAATAAGTGTGGTATTAATAATGGGCACATGAATAGCGTGTAACTGCTAAAGTCGCATTAATATCAATTTTGATATCTATGACCAGACGATATAATCTAGGCAGAGATGATTAGCATCGGACTTCCCCACATCCTGGTACTTACGTTTTTATATAACTAATCACAGAAATAAGGCTATAAAAAGAGATCAATTATATAGCATAGAAAACCTACTTAAAACTGTTTTTCTAGAATCCATAAAACTGAATATCTTTGGAAAATTACTAATTATATAAACAACTCTCAAAATTATTATCATTAGCCCATTATTGTTCATTAAGGATGTAGGATGTCTCCCAAGGCACGATCTTGACCCCTTCTCGTCCAATTATTACTCGCAACATATCCACTCCAGTCATCGCTCCACCTAGCTGCAGGGCGTCCCACGTTATGTATGCCATGTTGCAGTCTTCACTCTAGAACACTCCACTCTAGCAAAAACAAAAACCGATGGATATCACCAGTCCACTGACGCTTCAACCAGCGAGCTCGTAGTGTTATATCGGTGACCTAAGTTTTCTGGCATAATTCTTCGTTTCGGATTTGATACCTTAGAGAAAGTCTTTTGCAAAATACATAGTTTTTATTACTTATAATCGTAAGTCAGTTATTTGTAATCCCAATAATAATTACCTACTAATTTAAATGACTTACTAATACAATACAAGTATTCTAACCCTATTACTAATAATGTACCATGTCATGTGAACTTCCACGCGGTCTCCCCTGACAACCATTGTAGTTAATATCTAGTGAATTCATCATGACAACTGACCTGTCTTCAGTCTTATTCTAACATCCTCCACTGCAGTGTATACTTATATATTATTACCGTTAGCGTATGCAGGTGCACCATTTTATTATCATCCATTAAATAAAACTATCTTTAGCTAGCCGACATATTCTATGTGAGTAGGCCTTCATGCATTACCTTTTGCTCCTGTTAACAACCTATTGCGTGATTGCAACGTTTGATGTGACCTGCAATTACGAGTATGAACAATGACGCAAACACGGCACGTAACTATTCATTCATGCTGGAAAAAATAAGATTGTTTTAATTTGTTGTCATCAGGATCTACTACATCCTGATAATTAGGAGTCTACGGTTCATTAATGATTTTGTCGCAGTAAAAAGTTTTCGGTAACACCCGGAACAGTTATTGGTCATTTACCCCCATTAATTAAGCGTGCAACGATTAAATCTTTGTGTTTAGATACTGTGAGAAAGCTATGTGCACACAATTGTATCATTGTCTGCTTTTTACATTCTGCCGACTTGATATATGGAGCCGAGATATGCAGAGTGTGGGAAAAGTTCAGCGCTGCTCATGTTTTCTAACATGTCATCTCCAGCCGTGGGAGCGAATGGTAAACTCTGCATGCAGATATATAACGATTTGCATGGTTCAAAGGAATTTATATACATACTCCTAAAAACTTATTATGAAAAAGCACCACCATCGAGCAATCCCTCACTCTGTAAAGAAAGTGACTGATAGAGAATGCAGTAGGCGGACTGAATGCTGTTAGTATACAAGATGTCAATAAAGTTTAAACAAGTTGAAACTCATAACTATTGCCTGTACATGAAAATTAATTACCACCCCTTGTTACCTCATGAGCTATTGCTAACAATATACAATATTACGTCAGGTCGAACTCCTTGTGAGAGTGTTTTCACTGCAGTAGACTGGCTGACCTGATGTCTTATTTATTAAAAGATACCGCAGGAAATTCTCATTCTTAGGCTGCAGAAATTGAGAAGGTTGCATTTCCTGAGGACTTCGTTGTTGTGCCAAAAGCCTGTAATTTTACTTGCATATCATGCGTTATATCAACATGGCATTATCGATGTAAATATCTAATCTAGCAGTAGATTATTATATCAAATCATGTTTTACTTCCTCTATCTGAATGAGAGATCGTTATTATACAAGTGATTATAGTGTCATGTGACGCAAATGTGTATTATACGAGACTAAAGGAAGTGGATACTTAGCTACCACCTTAATATTTGCTACTCATATGATTTTCCAAACAATGCAACACTGTAAGTAGCGGTAATATTTTCAATTCATAAATTTTTCATTAAACTAAATCATCGTTTTTAAAAATTGTATTACTTTCCAAAGTTCTGTTTGATTTTTCTATGTCACCAGATACCATACCTATAACAAAATAAATAAAATATACAAAATCTAATGTGCTTAAGTCATTGAATGATTCTGCGTAATAGTACCTACCTATCAACCGACGCAAGTCTCTTTTTAACCCCCGACTTAAAAAGAGATGTTGGTCTATGTTTTCGTGTTTCTGTATGTCTGTGGTATCGTAGGTCCTACTAGAATGGAATATGAAATACAATTGTGAAGTGGTTTTTTTTTTATTGCAATATGGTTATTAGTAACTATTTAATAGAGCTTTTATTTATTCAGCGATTGCCATAGATAGAAGGTAGTATCACTGCCATATATCAATGCGGCAGTGATACTACCTTGTCCATTATAAAATAAACAATTTTAGAAATGTATTCAAACCGACACAGCTTACAAAGCAAGTTGCTTAACGACAGCAATCTGTGAGACAGATATCCACGCAGACAACTTTGTACATAGACTTTAAGTAGATTCGGGTGACGTTTACCTCTCGGCAACTGACGAGTTACCAAGCACTGTGTCTAACTGTGTAAACCTAACCTAACCTGACCACGAAATGTAGTCCACATTTCGTGGTTAGATATATATGAAACAGTTACATATGTTTAAGAACATAAAGGAAGGAAATTGACGGCTTATATATATGAGCGAAGACAGTGCTTGGTAACTCGTCACTGATACTTGTGTAGGTATATTTGACTCCCAGTATGCTCGAAATAGAGTGATCTTTACCTGCTAAAAGTACCTAGGAAACCTTCGCTTTAGCATACTACAGAACTCTGGTCTCATATAATAATATCCTCTCAGTCAAAAGTTTTATAATTATGACTTATCAGGAAAATCTAAAAATACACGAGTAGGTAAATACTGTTTTTTATATATACAATGAACACTGAAGAAAGTTTAAAAAGTTTAATAGTATCTATTTATTGAAATATGCTGAAAGAAAAAAAAATATCAATTTAGTTAGCTCAATTTTGTAAATATAATAAACTGTGGAAATAAAACAATAAAATTGTTGATTATTACCAACATTTTATAGGATTATTTTAGAGTATCACAACTAATTTATGTTGATATTTTCTTACAGTGTAGTTTCTTTTTAAATAACCGAAGTTATTTTAGGAGATATTATTTTCTAAATTATGTGTAATTTTAAATTCATAATTGACATAGACAACTGTCGTTATAATCATTCCAAGAAAACAGTTTCTTTAATAATTGTTTGATTACTAAACTACGCGGCCATTGTTCTCTAGATTAAATAGAAATCGCCTAATTATTAACTACTGTATGTCATACAGTTTTTTTTATAGAGAAGTCATAAAGCATATTTGTAGAGTTTGTCAGTTAATGATCAACTTCATGTACTTCTTACCGTCTTTGTGCTATTAAATAATAATCCCAGCACTATTCACACAGTGTCATCTAGACCCAAGTTAACCTAGCTAAACCTTGTGTTATGTGTATACTAGATAACTGATACAAGTACATAGATATTTTCTTTTTGTAAATATATACATATTATACATAGAAAACACCCATACCGATACAAACAATCGCACTCATGATTAACTCATGATAAGGTGGTGTGGTAAACCACTAGACCACCGAGGCTGTCGACGGTTAATACAGTCGGATTACAACTAATATCCAAATGGACGACAATGGTAGATTTTTTAAAGGTGTTTTTATATTATGGTCTCATTTCAGTACAGCGGTTGCGCTATCTGTATACGCTCGTTAGTGAAGTGAAACACAATTTATTAATTTTGAATACACGTTTTTGCTAATCGTGGAGACAACATTTGGAAGGCCTGTTATTAAAATAACTCGGGCTGTCAGCAGGTAGCGCAATCGTACTTTGTTAATACAACTGTACAATCAACCACCGACTCAACCATAAGTCCGACACTAAACGTTGATTTATGCCTGAATAAAATGTTTTAGTACGCTGATAATATAATATATGTGACATAAACTTATATGTCGTATTTTCCTAAGTTTTTATTTTTTTTATATGACTAGGGATCTGTAATATTTAACAATCGGCATGCGCTTTCTGGATGGTTCACCAGCAGTGTACGAAGCAAATGGTTAAAAGGCCATATTCGGAAAATAGAGTATGTAATGTAATGTGATGGCGTTACATTGCATATTCTTTCATGGATTAATGACGATGGCCTGCAGGGGGACCGCGTGGACGAACCTACTAGTAGAATTGCAATGGGAATACTTATGTCCATTACGTACAATATCTTTTTCGGATATATAATGATTTTATCTCACTCTCCTACTGAATGAAGAAGGACTCTTTTTGCGGTAGTACTGAAGCATAACATCTTAGTCTTTCGAATAGCAACATATGAAAGGTTACTTTTATCGAGTACACACATGTATGGGAAAGAGATGGTGGAGCCAAAGTTGTGTGTACCTATATAGTATACGTATATACTTGGTGGTGAATCTTATTCTTATCCTATCAGTTTGACCTCCACGTGGTCATACTAGAAACTATCGTAGCATGGCATTTAAAGGGAGACACAGTATTAATAAAAATTAATATTAATAGCAAAACTATTTTTTGTATAGTACTACTGTAATAGGATGAATTTGGTCAGTACAGTATTACTTAAATGTCTATAGAGTTGGTTGACATTTTAAAACACCTATTCACCGTAAATAGGTATACCTACAAAGTCGCGTCACCCAAAATTGCACACTTTAGGATGAGAAATCAGACACGAAATTGCTCTAAACACTCATATTCTTGATGTTAGATAAATGACTTCCTGCTGGTTGCCACAATAGAGGCATCATTATTCCTCGCTCTACAAGAATAGGCCCCGCTACCGTGGGAGACTCTCACGACTTTATTACGGATATATTTTTATGTTTGTTAATAATTAACAGTTTTTCTAATAGTCTAGTCTGCTTTTACCTTAATTGTTCGCGTTTAATACCGCTACTCGAAATTATACTTGCCAAATATTAAGTTCCTCGGTAGGGCCATTATACATAATTTTTCACAAAATTAGAATGAAAGAAGGATAAATGTTTATTTGCCGAATACAGTTTACAAAATATAGACAACACATTAATTGATGTAAATGCACTTAAATTAATGAATTAATAATTACAGCTTCGACCAAATTAGTTTGTCTAGGCGCTGATTTTCAGTGGAACCAGTGGGAGTAATCAATGGCTTTATGAAATAAATGAAGAACGTGTATGTGCTCTAAGCGGTTATTGGGCTTCCTATAATATGGTCAAGCATACCTAGTGGCTGGTTGATTCGTCACATTCATAAACGAGTGCTGCTTTTAGCGACTGGTCTGCTCTAATCACTACGACTGATATAATCTAATTTAGTTACTTAACCTGTTGATCGTGTATTTTGAATCTATTGAATTAGTGTTAATTGGTAGTTTGTATTTACACATATTTCAACTTAAAACGATAAAGATACAACAATAATTTTAAAACGTTCTTCTTTTGATACAGTTTATGTGATGTTTCCGTGTCAAGTTTCCGTGATGCAAACTCTCTTCATGTGAAAATTAAAATCTGTTCAGCTGTTTAGTCGACTTCAAATATAAAATTATTATTTCATAAATTGACTATGTCAATTGCCAAGTCCGCGTCCCCGTTTTCGCAACATTTTTTAATGCAGATCTGCTTCTATTGGAAAATAATTTTCAAAATTACTTTTATCTCTCCCACCATAATCTCCTGAACTTTACCGCTTTATAATACTAGTACAGATAATTTTTTTTATATCCACAGATAAAAGGCGCCTTTTGTCTGTGGATATAAAACAATTTATTTTTTTCATACAAAATGTTCGATCCATCGAAATATGTGTAATAAAAAAAAATTCTTAACTTTTTAGTCGTTTCGAAGTTCACCGGGTCAACTAATCATTCATAAAAAAATACACCCAAATGATTATAGTCACGATTATACGCGCATTTGGACATTGCAAGAATTGGTTTTAGTATAAGCTGATTTTTTAAAAATATAAGTAGGTCTCCTCTCTTGTCTTATCATGCATATCTAGCTATAACATTAATATCCAAGTTTATATGAAAATTCAAGTAGCAGGAGTTCGTTTGGTCTACTTTTTTTACAAAAATACAATGATTTTTATAAACAAAAAAGCTTTAATAAATTTCAATGTAACCTAATCCTAAATTTTTAAACAACCCCTGAATTAAATAAATAACTATAATATAGGGTAACCAAGAACAATCGATCACGCATGTTTTCAAAGAAAAGAAAACCCAAGATAAAAAATAAATCATTTAGGATCTACGATACCACAGACACAGACTTAGAATATCACATTTTATTGTATCAGGGATTTAAAATGGGGAGCTGTAGAACAAAATAAAACACTGAACTCATTGTGACTCATGTTTATAACCACTCACAAATGCAACTTTTGACTTTAAAGCGAAGTAGATATAAAGATTAGATATTATCTATGGACTCATGGCATAACACAGATAAATCCGTATTATTTTTAGTTTGAGATAACTTTGTATAATAATAAATACATTTCTATATCTACTCATACATACAAATATCTGTTTCAAGTTAATATAGATAAGTAGGTACTTACACAATTCATAGTGTTAAAATTTTAATACAAAAATAATTCAACTTCTTCGATACATTAAATAGGTAGTAGCTACGTATTTTTTTATTGTATTCTTATTACTGTAAATTTATTTATTTATATTTTTATGATGCAAATAATTACGTAAGCTTTGCCGTGTGTACTTCTTTATTTGGAAGAAAATAGGTTTTTCAATTCCATTGTTACATTTCATACAGAACACGTCGTGGAATAACCATAATTAATTACGTAAAGCATTTAGGCACTTAAAGGCAACAAATAGCAAAAATAACAAAACATTATATATTTCTTTAATCTAGTCTTACCATTCACCTACATTAAATAATAACAGATCTTTAATATCAAGTTAGTACCTATAATGGACAGATTAAACACATATTACTCTACACTGAAGTCAGTTCAGTCCACGCTTCATACATCAGTACCACGTACTTATGAAAATAATATTCTATATTCAAAATATGATCATGACATAACTGTATTTTATCGGGCACTATATAAAAACGTGCCAGATAAATACATAAATTATCTTGTATACAAACCATCAAACCAGGATACCCTGTACTAAGAAACAAGACTACATAACATTTTGAAGTTATATGTATTTCATTGAACATCCAGATTCCAAACTCGTGTCACAGTAACATATCCAATTTGACTTTACCAATAACCGAACTTGGCACCGTTTTTATGCAAAACATGCTCAAATACTATGCTACCAAGACGGTGAGGCATAATAAGATAGTATATAATCTTATATTCTATTTAAATATGGATTACTAATTGTACTTATAATAAATAGTTTAACAACATGATTAAATACATCATATTCAGAAATTCAAACACTGAATGAATGAATATAGCGAAGATTGTTACCTACACGGAATATACAATGTATAGCTATTGTATTAATATTTTGTTGGACGGACACATTAATTATATTTTTTTTATCTCTTCAACTATTCTCTACAAATTTGGCCAACCCACAAAACATGGCCACTCTCACAAATTGTGCATTAATCTAATGTTATTTTTACACAAACATTTTACAACGAACTTGTGATGTACAAATATAAAATATCATGCAAAATAAATTCAAGCTATTAAATGTATGCGAATTAAATTAGCAACTTCATGCTTATTTCTTGTAACTAACTACTTACAAGTCTAGTTATAAGACAACCTTTAACCATGAAACATCTGTTGCACCAATTCAGTACTTAAATACTATGCACTAGTGTTTAAATTATATAATTAGTACAATAACAACCAAAAGAACATTGTCTATATGTTTAGAAACAGACCAAGCAGTTTATTATAAGCTTGGTGTTCACTTAACGCGCACCGATCGTTGTTTATTCATGTTGGTAAGCATCAGAGATATGTATGAAGTGAGAAGGTCGTCCATTTTGTAACCAAGCGATGTCTCGCAGAGAAGCTTCGAGCCGCGGACTAGGTTCCCAATCGTCATATGGAAGTATGTGTTACCGGATGACCAGTTTGATATTCTGGTAAATGGGTGCGTTACCAATATATCCTTGAAAGAAATAAAGATGACATTGTAGTTTATTGCTCTTATTTGAGAATCAGGAAAATAAGATTATGGACGTGAGTAGAATAAATAACCACGTTAAAATGTAGTAAATTGTTAAGAAGTAAAGAATAAAATAAAAAGACATAGCTAATTAATTAATATAAATAATTATTAAAAAGTAAAATATAAAAATTAAATACAATATAGTCTATCGTCAGTTATCATCGTGTTATGAGTGTGATTTTCTCTCTTCATAGACTTTTCTATGGAGAGAAAGAATTGAAAAAGAATCGTTTATATTTTTTTTTGCCAGAAGTTTAATGTCAACCTTGTTGTAAACTTTAATAGTGTTACACGGGTCAGATTATTAGAATAGTTATAATATAGACCAGTCAGAATCCGATAACAAACAAATCGTCAGTTTTAATTGACTATGTTAACTGATTGTTGTTACATTAAATGTAGTACGAATAAGATCATTGCGCACATTTCGCTATGCCTACCTAAGGAATTTTTGAAATAGTCATTTAATGCAATGAATAAAATATGTTCCTCATACCTTTGTCTGTGGATGAATCAAGCTGACTCCATGTTTGTTTATGGCTATTAACAATAGTTCCGGATAGTTCGGTTCCGTAGTCTGTTTAACTTCGAAGAAAGCCGATCCAAATGTGGGCCATCGGTATATTACTTTCAGGAAGGTTATCTTCGCATCTTCTGGAGTCATACCAGCGTCCTGATTATACGAGGCGACAATTGCTCGTTTCCAGTCTGCTGAACTTTGAAGTTTTATTAAATCCGCTGGTACAAGCTCTCGCAGCATTTGTCTGGAATGTAAAAAACATTTTTATAATAATTCGCAATTAACAGTGTCAGGAGCCTTGGCGAGGTAGTTAGTAGATGAATTAGTAAAATAATATATCAAATTTATTACAACACTCCATTGTCCCATCGCTGGTATTTAGCCATAATAAGATAATTGAGCCAAGTCTTGCCAAACTAGCCAGGCGGCTTGGAATACAGTGTAATATCGAGATTTCCTGTTCTAGACTGATGCACTTGCGCTTTACCAGTGACCATCTTATATGCAGCGAAAGATACAATAAAAAGTACAAATAACTACCTATAGTTTAGAAATTTATTACTAATATTATATTTGTACTCCATCACGACACGTATACTTAAATTTTCAATGCCTAAATACTTAAACTCCCACACACTCATTTTGACTAAGGTAGTAGTGTATAGTTACTTTTTTTAGCTCTAAAGAATAAGATTGAACTTGAAAATCTAAAATGAGATTATTACATGATTAGCGTTATAAATATTAATAATTATTTATTATATGAAACAGAATATTGGTTTTAAATTAATACTTACGGTATAGCTTGTAGTTCTTGTTTATTGTCTCCAAATCTGGCACGATAAGCTAGTGCGGCGAGTCGTGCGGCTTCTTCGCGCCCGCAACGATGGTACCCTCGCAGCAGCTTAGGAAGCTCCTGATGGAAGTGGAAGATCACGTCTGCAGCTCTATCTTTTCCCGGTACAGTGTTAGTCCATAATTTTTTCATGAAAAATACCTAAAAACAATTAGAAATATTAAACTTCATTGAAAGACTTATTATTATTATTCTAAATAAAGCAAAAAATAAAATTTATGTTGTGTATACCTCATAAAAATATAATATTCATATATTATAATGACGCATTCATACAGCTCCATATAATTCCAAACTAAGCTGAGCATGCGTTATGTGTAACAGAAAATAACTAATTAATAGACAACGTATAGAATAGGAATACTTATTTTTTTGGAAATACATAATATAAGTACTTATATAGGAAACACCTTGACTAACAGTCAATTTTAGTGGATCAAAATTGATTTGTCTAACAGTTACAGAGACTACAACATTATTACGATCTCAAGTATTTAGTAAAAGTACATAATAAGTAGTGAGATACATATCTATACTATTATCTAATCATAAGTACTCTGTTATTTTTTTTATAACGACGTAATTTTGTGTAGGTACGGACGCCGATATAAAACGGTAAGCATCACGTCATAGAAGTTTTGGGTTTGTATGATTTTATCAAACTACCCTAAGGGTAGGCAGAGAACACCGAATGACATACGTTTTTCTCCCTACATCATCTTTTGCTTCATCTCTTTTATAACGCACTCTCTTTTTTATACTCTTTATATGCACACAATCAAATTTCGGAGACAACTCCGCCATAAAACATACTATCTTATAGATATAGATTAGACCTTTCGGTTGATGTTTATTCTGATCCTCTATCTTTCGGCATCTACATATTTTATCACGATTTCGACATTCTTTTTTACACAAGAAATTTCAATAACCAGATATCTCGTTTAATCGATGTTCGTATAGAATTATAAAGAAAAAGCAAATTCATCTATCTATCTTAATACAATCTACATATTCTTCATACCAAATTTAATTAAATTACGTAAAGCCGTTTAGTACAAGGTTACCAGCAGACAGTCAGCCAAAATTTTTAATTAACAATGAATTAATATTTTATCGAATATTGAATACACCAAGTAACAATAAAAAAGTTTAAATAACGTACCTGATATGTAAATTGTGCTGTAACTCCGTCGCGAGTGGGTCGTGTTTTTTTTATCCAATCTGTTAAATGGCGAACAAAATCGAAAAAGAAATCGCCTTCAGGCACTGATATTACTCGATCAGCTATCTTAACAAATAAACTTAATCCTTCACTAGATCTGAGATTCAGTCTCTGTGCAATATTTTGACAAAAGTCTTTTGCTCTTGTAGAGGAATCGACTTCGAACGCTTCATCTGTGTCATCAGGGAAATACACTTTGTGAAATATTTGAGTTGTCTTATGTTGAATAGCTTCTACTTCAACTTGATGAGGGGGATACTTCCTTTGCCCGTTCCTCAAAGTCTTCTGAAGTCTCTGTAGAGAGTCTTGAGCAATTGGATATCTCCTAGTCCTTAAAAACAACGTTAATTCTCTAAGTAAACCTTGACTACAGGCAAACAAGCCGGTAGCTAACCACATCAGTTCCCAGCCTCTTTCTTCGGACATTCTATTTCTGTTTTCAGTCAATTGTTTCATAATTTGACAATATATTTCATCTCGTAATATTTCGTGTTTTAAGGGACCATCAAAAATGTGATCCGTATATTCGTTGCCTATCCGCGGTCGCTTTGAAGGTAAGTCGCCCATATACTTTAACATCGCTGTAAATGCGAAGCAAGCTTCATCAGCCAACTCTTCTTTAGTTTGCAACTTTTTTAATAAGGGTAATTTTATAGGTTCCCTAGCATGTCGCCATAACTCTTCTGCACCTCCACGTTTTGCTGTGGACAATGTGAGGGCTTTGGATACTGTTCGTTTAGGTGGTAGTCTGAAGTGGTCTAATGCATATTCGAGTAATGTATGTGGTTTATCTCTAGTCTCTGTTCCATTGAATGTAGTCGCTGGTATACGCCGACCATGCTGTGCACCTTCTTTACAGAATAAATTCAGTATGTCCGGGGGAGGTTTCGTTAATGCAGGTAAAACATATACTGTTTCCGCTGGGAAGTCACCTCGTTCCATTGTCCTCTCACAACGTCCAATGCACCAACCATTATTCAAAACAGATTCACCTGTACTATCTTCTTCTAAAATTATTAGATCTCCTTTTTGGAACGTCAAGAAACTGGAACCTTCTCCAGGTGCTTTATAATCTTGCAAAGCGATTACAAACTTTGATCGCTTCTTTAATCCTTCAAGGAAATATACTACAAGATCTCTTATATCTTCTGCATTTGGACTTTGGAATGTAAATTCTTCACCTCGAACTGTCGATAAGCTGAATGTCTGTGTAAATACTTTATTGGTTTTTTGACTTGATACTGTTGTGATTTCGGGGAATGAAAGTTCTAACAAAACTTGTTCTTGGTCATCTACAACATACACGCCAGTCCAGTTCACAGCAATAATTACATCATTTTTAGGTAAATTTGGACCTGAATTTCTATATGCTTCGTAAAATCTTGAGAACAATAACGGCCACTTAAATTTTGCGTAACTAACAACATCTTCTTTGACTCTGTATGCAGGAATTTTTTCTTTGACATAATAGCTTTTTTTATAAGCCTGCACCACCAACGAACCCCAACGATCTACGGCTTTTTCAACACCTGTTAAACAATAGTCTGGTATATAGTTGGGTAACAATGTATAAAGGCGTTCTGTGTTCATATCTTGTCCATACTCGATATAATATTGTTGGGCAGCAATCATAGCTAAATCTTCTTCTTTATCACATCTATATTCACCAAATTTGACTCCTCTGACAACTTGTTGATATATAAGATTTGTTGCAACTTGATCTTCAGTAGGGTCATGCCATGGAGCAAATATTTCTTTTCTAAAGAATAATCTCCACGGTGCATTTCTTTCCTGTGCTCCCTGTTCTTTAGCATATTGTTCGCATTGTGATATTGCGTCCATTACGTGATCACCACCGCTGCCCAATGAACTGACTTTGTCGAACAAAGCTATGTACAGTGAAAATCCAAACTGGTCACGTAATCCTATTTTATCGGACAATTGATTACACAACTCTCTAGCCGTTGTAGCCGAATCAGCTAGCAGCGTCTTAGTATTACCATCCATGAATGTAATCGGAAGCATTATAGGTTTCTTAGATTTTGTAGCTTGAAGTTCTAACCAAGATGGCGGCTGGTTTCTAGTTCCATTATTAAAAGTTCTTTTTAAACGGTCCTCACAGTATGGCGCATAACCAGGTGGACCTTCTCGTATGAAAGCTCTAAGATAATTTACAAATTTTTCACTAGGCGCAAAACACCCGACACATAACGAGAGTAAAATCCATCCTCTAGCATGAGATGATTTAGAAGGATTAGAAGACAATTGTTTACATATTTGGCAATATATTTCATCTCTTAATTCAGCCCGGAGAATTCCGTGTCCAATAATAAAATGTAGTTTCTCCAAATTAGAAGTAGGTCTTGATTCTAACCATGATTGGTAGCTATCAGCAGTATACTCTTCATCCTGAAAATAAAAAAAACATAAATATGAAAAAAATATTATAATTAATTAATAATAAATATAATTGGAATTAAAATAATTAATATAATTGGATTGAAACTTTCTGAAATATTCTATATAAAAGCTATTCTATATATTCTATATCTTATTCTATAGTAAAAGCAATTTCATTTTAAATATATCATAACTAACCTGTAGCTTCCTTCGAACATCTTCACCGAGTTTATTTTTCCTTTTCAACGTTAGTGACACGAGCTTATGTCTTATTGACCTCGGTTTTTGTTTATTCAAATAGGCATCCGGATCTACTCCCATCAACTGTGCCTCTTGAAATTCTTTGGATCTGATGAAATTTCTTCCAAGTGTCGCAGTGACCTTTGACATCACAGAGGTATTGTCTCGTTCCATAGTATGAAATCTTGGTTCTGGCAAATCTCCAGTGAAGCGTAGTATAGTGATCCATAGTGCTTGTGCAGCCTGCAACGGAAATGTTGTTTACATAATTAGAAAGATTTCACATATTATGCAGATAATATTTTATAACAGGGATTCTTTATATTAATCTCCACAATGTCTTGTTGCTATCGAGAATGTCATTGACGTACCAATTGATCGCCTTGGGTATGTAATGGCAGCAACGGGTGTTTTAGGGGCTTCTTGGAGTACTGATGAGTGACATTTCCTTGAAAATATGTGGCCGCAAACTTTTGGAATTTGAATTCTGACAGATCTTCCTCGTCCTCCGATGTTGTTTGCATAGGAGTTACCATCTGTTGAATCGCAATTTTTAATTAAAAACCATAAAACTTTCCAAATATATTTTTTTAATAACAGTTGATTGAAATAAATAATACCTACACACAGTTATTATACTGTTTTAGAAATTACAATTTGTAAAAATAGACACAACACAAATTATTTATTATGTTAGACCTCTTTTTATCAGGAGGACATTAGAGGTATAAAAATAATAACAAATTATATAAATAAATACTTACCTCTTGCTGGTCAGCTCTTGGCTGCGGCAAATCGCTAAACACGGATGTATCTTTAGGTGCCGGTGCCTCACTACTTGAGTCGGGTAGGAAATCAAACATAGCCTCCACCAATTTGCTGTCATCCACAGGCTCTTCCTGTTTCCGAGCAGCTTCTTGTAGCAATGTTCTCTTAACTTCTAGTTGACGCTTTTCTTCTAATATTAGCTCGGCCTCCCGCCGTTCTAGTTCGTACATACGTTCCTGGTAAAAAAAAACATAAAAAAGTTATATATCGTATTGTTTATTTTAATTAAAATATTATTTTAATTACTTTCAAATTTCAATAATATGCAAGTAATAGAATACAATATTAAGTTTAAGATATAAAAAGATCTTGATTTATACAAATTATTCATACGACAACTAATGCAAATAACAACTGACATAATAAATTCCTTTAGTTTCTTTATCATTAATGCAATATAACCAAGTATATATCATTGCTCTACTGTTTGGTCAGTAAATACGTTTACTTTAGCAGGCTTATTAATTTAGATTGAGTTGTATTTGGTCTGATTATGTATTCTGCCTGGCTAGACTAAACTTACTTGTGTATTACTCAAGCACCAAGCATGCTTGTGTAATGTTAACGTTTCTGCATGAGTGGATCGCTGAATGAGAACAAATTATATTACCTGAAGGATTGTAATGATGATTATATGCCATTATCGTGTCAGTTAGTTATGTTATGTATATATATGTAGTGCGAAACCACAATTATGCGGTAATTCCTTCATACTTAAACACTTGATTATACACGTACGGTAGATATAATTAATTTATATATAGAGATATAGCGGTTATATGCTCAATTGCCACGATGATTTGGGTGGTATAAAAAATAAATCTGGGAACTGTGATATGGTATCTAACAGAAAGACTGTCATACATTCATTTACTGCACTCCTTCTCTATATAATCTATAAGTGTGCGAAATTATAATAATAACATGAAGTAATAATAATAATATAAAATAATAACCTCCGTCCGCGCACTTTTGCCTAAATGGCGGTACAAAGTTTTTACTTCACGTATTAGGTATTATGATTGTAATACACACATGCAAAGATAGTTCTAACTACATGATGATGTAGTATCTTTTAAAAGTATGATAACACACAAAGAATTTTCTAAAGCTTAGGTGTTGCCTGAATTAGCTGATGATATTGAGAATTAGTACCGATTTTTTTTGTAAAACGAATGTCTACGCCATATAAATTTTACAGAGTACCTACTCTCTAAAACTTTAGTGTTGTCGTTGTATTCAGTTTTTATTAGACGAATTAATTTAATTTCATAGATAATATCTAAATAAACAATTTGTACATCTGTGAAATGCGTCGGGACTCTTTTGTATCTATGTAAACATATTACTTTATTATGTAGATAAGTCGATAATATAATAATTGTACTACATTATTGTCTTTTAACTTGATATCGACGTAGTATCAGATTATGAATAATTTTTTTTATTTATATATAGCTTTATTGAACATTTCTACATAGTTTTTTATATTTAATTGGATGGCAAACAAGTTGAACGGGCACAAGATAGGAAATGGTAACTTTCGTCAATAGGGGGAAGGGATAGTAATGTGGACAGATGATCCCATTGCTAGCAATGTGCCATTTTAGGTTGATCTCCACGCTTCCCCCTTGAAACCATCGTGATAAATTCCTAGTGAATTTACTACGATGGGCTAACTGGCCTGACCTCATGCTCATCCTATTATCCTCGACTGGTGCCCCGCCTGCACGGCCCGCCTGCGCTAACGGTTAGCGCTGGCGGGTGAATTATAACACTATCATCCATACATATAGGTATATACATCCATTAAAAAAAGAACTGTCGTCCATATGCACCACGGACATCACATTAACATGTATGTGGCGCGCCTTTTTGCCATTCCGAGTATGATACCTCCGTATTCTATAGTTTTACTGTCTTATCTTACACTACGATCGAAATACATTGTAAAAAGCAAGATGTTTGGCGGGTGAAAAGGGTATGTCAGGGGTATTCACGTGGACGTGATTTATATTACATTACAAACACTTTGCACACAATATATAAACGGATGTTTACCATGATAATATTATTAAAGAACTGCCGATATTTCGACGCTGTTACAAGTCTTGGTCACGGGTCGACTAAAATACCTACCTAGTTTATATAATGTACCTACCTAATATAACAATACCACAGAACGTTAAAGAACGTGTATTCTTGAAAAATTATTCAATTAATGAATTTCTTAATGACTAATGAACTAATAAACCAGTAATGTGATTGTGATGCATTTCAAAATGGTAACAATATTATCGTTTAGAATAATATCTAATATTGACATCTATTATATTCCATAATGTTTTTAAAATGACAAATTTGTATTATATAATGAATATTTGTACACTGGACGCAGCAGAATATGATGAAACCTATTTTTATATAATTACTACCATTGTTCATACCATATTCTGACAAATAAATAACAAAATAATAATAATGATTAAAAATATAAGCAAACGTGAAAAGTGTAGGTAGTACTAATACTTAGGTAAAATATTCGACTCCTAAAAAACCACATTTTCATTTAAATCTAGTATTTAACGTCACATCACATGCCTACAATTAAACAATTTTATACGTATGTATCTATTATCAATTTTATACATATAAATTTTTTTTCTTATACTTCTTATGCTAGGTAATTAGTTATTTATCATTATATATAGTCATTAGCAGGTTGTAAATAAGAGAGTTTTACTATTTAAAACATGGTACAAACAAGGTAAAATTAAGGTTGACCGATTTTATTTGTAACTATCCTTGTAATATTTGATCCTATATTTAGATATTTAAATAATCAAAACTAAGTACGTACCTATCTAAACAAATACAATAAATCTAAATACCTAGTTCCTTTTCGTTACATACTATCTAATCGCCTAATGGAATAGTCTAATAGTTTTTATTAATCTTAATTGTAGGTATATACCTACCTACTTAGATATACAGGTACATATGTATATTACATATATACGTACAAAAAATAAGTTTTATAGTAGAACAATGATTAATTTGTAAAAGTTACGGTTCCCTCCCAATAACAATTTTTATTAGAATTTTTAATCTGTTTTTGGTGGTGCTAAGCCTTAGAACTATTAATCGTAGTAGGTAGTAGGTGTTAGGTATACATAGTTCGTAGGCGGTTTACAATACTAGCTAATACACCCAACTTCGTCTGTTGTTTTCGAAGTAAAAAATAAGCAATGTCCATTCACATGAGACACATGTACCTATCTTCAAGCTGAAGATCATTTCAGCCATTAAGTCTTGAAAAGGTAATAAATAGACAAACAGACAGACACACTTTCCTTTTATAATATTTGTTTAGATTTGCAAATGTCTAAGAAATATTGGAATTATAACTTTGTAAAATAAATGTCCATGAGTACAGGTTTAGAAACAAAAATAATCGTATACAAACTCTTTTTTTACCTGTACAGCTTTTTTGTTTATTAATATGTACGTTTGCAAAAAACCTCATCGAAATCGGTCAAGCTATTTCCGAGATTACCGCTCACAAACGCTTCGACAAACAAACAAGAATTATAATGGTAATTGTTTTAGGTTCTATCACGTTATTGAAGTCACCCATTAACAGGTTTCATATATTTTCCATGTACAGACAACGAACAGTTACATTTTTATTATATGTAAAGATAACACAATGGCTGTTGTGTTGAAATTTGAAATGTTCGATATAAATTATGATTTTTACGTGTCCCTTAAAAAATTGTCGTTCTCGTTTAATAATAATTAAAAGTGAGAAAATAAATTATATGAACCTACATAGCTAATATATTTTAATGAAGAACAAGTATTATCAAGTTTCTATTAGGTATACTAGCTGTGCCCGCGACTTCGTTCGCACAGAGCACGCAACGGAAGCCCTCAAATATTAATAATTTTCCCCGTTTTTGCAACATTTTTCACTGATGCTTCGCTTCTGTTGGTCGTAACGTAATTTTATACAGCTTAAAGCCTTCCTCGACAAATGGACTATCCAACACAGAAGTATTTTTCAGTTCGAACCAGAAGTTGCTTAGATTAGCTCGTTAGTATAGACAGACAGCCTCATTACCATTTTTATATTTTTAACATTCAGAGACATTTGTCTTAGAAATATTATAGAATTTATAGGAATGTCAACCTATAACTATCATTAGTTATCTGATAAAATTTAGTATTTTAGATATATTACAGAGTTCATAGGCATGTGATCCTTAAGCTATCATGACGTATTTGAAAAAATCAGTTCTAGCAAAATATTGCTAGAACTGTATAAAATTCTCGTGATACAATGTTAGTTACCATACTCCTCTGAAACGGCTTGACCGATTTTTATGAAATTTTATATGCATATTCAGTAGGTCTGAGAATCGGCTACTAATTATTTTTCATACCCCTAAGTGATAAGGGTTATCCACCCCTAACATTATTTTTTTATTTTGTGGGCAAAATTTTTTATTTACATTTTTTATTAAGTGTCATTAAAAATACATACAACCTTAAATTTTCACCCTTCTATCACCAACCCCTATTTTTTATAGCGTTATTAGTTTACATTGCATAACAACGTTTGCCGGGACAGCTAGTACTACATAAATTATTGCGGGGGGAATGGGATTGTTAGTGTTAATGTGTGTAAATAATAAACCTATAGTTAGCAATATTCCATGTCAGGTAAACCTACACACAGTTTCTCTTGGAAATCATCATAAATTTGGAATGTTGGGCAAACTGACTGAGCTGACCTGTTCTGGCCTGAGCTCATCATATCTCCCCTGACCTCGCCAACGTAAACTGCGCTTACGGCAGGCGGGACACAATTCCATTATCATCCATTAAAATATGCTATTACCTACATAGTGAACCAAGTATTAAAGGTGCATAAATATCCAAATACAAAACAAACAAGTAAGTGAGTCTCACCTCATTGTCATTTAAAGAACGGCTTTCCATCAGTACTGTATAAATACAAATTTAATTTCCTTTGTTATGGCACTAAGTTGTATTGTCTGTTGCTATTATTACTACTAGAATTACTACTAATAGTCAAAACACAAAAATTTAAACTTAACTGATATAATTGTAACGCACATTGGAACATAAAATAATTAAATAATTACCGCGATTACAAATGCAAGAAGCATGTAACAAGCGCGCTACTGAATCGGTAAATTAAAAAAGAATTTCTTTTCGATAGAGATTTTATCGGGATGAGATAAGATTTCAGGTATGAACCTCATTTGGACTGTTATTATGTACATAGCCTGATAAGAAATCGCTTCAATCAGTGTCAATTATCGATTGATTTATTGCCGCCAATCTAAAAATACCTCATTCACGAAAAAATGTCTGCGTCTTTTATTGTAAAGCAGTAAGGATGGAATTACAAAAATGCATGTACAAAGCTAGAGATTGTTGTAGATAATTAATATAAGTTATTTAAGTACTTAAGATATAAATCACTAGAGAATAAAATAACTGAATTAACTTACTATCGTTTCCACTCAATATAATACTTACGCACCTAATTACTCGTAAATATGTGTAGTCGAAAATATACTTAAATGACGTGTAACAGATATCAGACAGTCATAATAAGAAACGAAATAATAGCAAATACAATCAGCTTCATATATCCTAGCGTCAGGACAATCAACAACGTCCTTAAAAATATTTAGACTAGTATCCGCCCCGGCTCCGCATGGGTGCCTTTATTATAGGGACCTCTATGTTTTACAATAAACCACATCCCTGTCAAAATACTGGATGCACTTACTTTACAGTCAATAAAAAAAATATCTATAGATCATATATATCATTACCGTCTTATGAGACAGTACAACTTTTTCTTTCGTATCATTTTAGAATTCCTACGTTTATCCATAACAAAAATTTAATCATATCCTTGAAATAGAATTTCAAGTTTTTTCTAAAATATTTTATATAGCTAATAGATGATTTTTGAGTCATGGAACTACTTTAAGATGATGGAAAACATTGTATAACGAAACAAACTGAACCAAAAGCCATTAAACTTGCTGCTTCTTATATATACTAAATACATGGCTGTCTACTTCAGTTTAAAGTGACAGAGAGAGAGAGAACATTCATATCTATACGTTTGAGAGCTAGTAATAACAACAATCAAATAATAAGGACTGACCGACCCATCTGAAATTAGTCTAGGGCATATTGTGTCTGATTTTTATCAATCACATGTCATTGTTATGATGATGTATTGATGATTACAGCACAGCGATTATTTTATACTACCAAAAGATAACTAACTGGTTGTCAGCAATAAAAATATACCTATCATGTGAATGATTACATTGACGAAATATAAACACTATTTAGTATAAAGTAAATTCATTGAATTATTAAATTGAATTAGCAAACCATATGTTTGGACATCTACGGGTCTTTAATATATCTCGTACATTATCACTAATTGATCCGAGAATTACCATTTATATATCATTGTAATAAGGTGTTTCAAAAGTATATAATTAGATAACAGCTTTATTTTATAGTAACTGTTATTGCAAAATCTAGGAGTAGTGAAACCTAAGCTTCACATGATCGGAGAGTATAGATTTATGGAACATTAAATCTTAGTAGAATTAACTCAGATAAATATTAAATTACTCACCCTGTAATTTTGTTCAGCAATTTCTTTGGCACGTGAATTGCCCTGGTGCTGTAGCCGCTGCTCTTCCTGTCGGCGCAAGCGTAGTGCTTCCGTGTGCGCTATTGCATCCTGCTTCATTCGCCGGTAACGCCGCATTGCGATCAAACGTCTCACATGGCTCTGAATCTTAACGATTGCCCACATCTTGTGTCCATATGAACGACGGACGAGATATCCACGTGCAGCCGCCTAGTGGTCAAAATTTGAAAGTTATTAGGAAGAACAAACAACCAAAGTAACAGTTGTGCACAGAAATAAATGACCAGAGGAAAATTCTGTAAAAAGTCGTCTGCATGAGAAGTACCTGTCTCCTCCAGTTCACCCCGTCACAAAGAAATTTCTTTATAAGCTGTGATTTGGTTGAAGGGTCAGACAGATCAGTGAAATAAAAAAGTACGGAGGCATAATATCTGAGTCCTCTGGAATGGCCACGTATTATAGGTACTTAGGGCGTTACATGATGCTGTGACATTCATGACGCTATTCATGAATATATGCCGCGGCTGCCACTTACTATCAGGTAGTCTGTTAGCTAATTTACGCTTCCAGTTACTTAAAACAATTGACAGCAGCAAAGATATTACATACAATATATAAAGATAAATATCATATGTCTACGACATGCAAGGGGAATTGAGAACTTATGTTCCGAGATTTCTGAGGATTATAGTATGACGACTCTCTACCCAATCATCATACTGCCATAATATCCTTCAAACGTTCAATGTTCAAAATGTTGTTATTTAGTCTTGCTTGAGACTAAATAACAACATTTTGACGGCTAAAATATCAGTTCGACAGATGTAATTAAACGGAGAAGATTTTCTATGAGTGAATGATTTCTCCTACTAAACTAACCAGTTATATTTAATTTATGTAAACGAAATATCTTCTACATGCTAATTACATAAATAGATACATACTTGTAAGGAAACTATATGTCCTCGCAAATGACGGAATCGATGAGCGAGCACTCTTGCTCGTATCAGTGCTTGTAATCTTGCATATCCCACTTTCATTCTGTTGTATCTAATCCTTTGTAATTTCCCTCGCCAGTGACGCTGAATTAAGACAGCGGCTGCTCTCATTTTCAAAAATCGTCTTCTATAAACCCAACCTCGTATAGATCTTTGCAAAATCAATATCTTTCTAGTCAACACTCTGTCTCTTTCTTGTTCAAGGAATAAATCGTGAGCATCCTTCAAAAATACTTTAGTATGACCCAATTGATAATCAGACTTTCCCAGAACATTCGCACATATCTTTGAAGTAGCTGCTCGACAATCAGTCTTGTGTGCTGGCGGAACACCCGATATCAAAAATCGATACCTTTCGACAAATTCTTTAAAACTGTGACGGATTGGATAGCCGGCTCTTCGGATTCTAATAGTTTCCATCATACCAGAATACCTAAGTTGCCTACAACAAAGTCCACGATCAAACATCATGGGTTTTTTAAACTCGTTTGGTTTTATACATCGAATAAAGAAGGGCTGACATGTGCCTAATGTTCTCATCAGTAAATCTAGAGACTTTTTAAATTGTGTCGAAAGTGTTGGTGTACGTTTCCGTGTTTCAGATCCCATTGCAATATCATCTTGAAATATGTGTTGTAAGAATTTATTCGTTGATATATGGATTAGTTGTAGCAAGTCGGCACTAAATGTATCTCTATTCTTTTCTAGAAAACCTCGTGTATCATAAAATACGATTCCAGCAAAATGATTGAGGCCGAAGCTAGTATTAATGTCTGATTTTGGTTTGAGATAGTTTCTATGAAGACCGTGTGTCTTGTGTAGTTTGGCTAACATTGTTTGATCAGTGCCTTTTGGAAATTTAGATTCCTCGTCTATTAAAGCCATAATATTTAATTGTTTTAGCGCAATTAAATCTAACGCATCTTGATTATCGACGAACTCTATATGTTGCCAATTAATTCCCTCGTGATTATATTCTTCCTGTTCCAGTTTGAAAATATGTCTAACAAAAAACTGCTGAAGGTTTTCATTAGCAAAATTAATACAAAATTGTTCGAAGCTATTGTGATCAAAGTTTTCAAAGCCGAAAATATCCAAAACGCCAATGGCTGTACGCGTAGTAGATTTAGGTTTATATATTGCAGCATTAATTTTCTTTACAATTGTGACGAACAAGCGTCCATAAATTCCCTTTACAAATGCATCACGAATGTCTACAGACTGATCTCTACTTAGAGTAGACACAACAGTTTCACCATGTGCGAACAATGTCTTTCTTGTTAGCGCATCAATTAACGATTGCATCGGTACACCTAATAGAGTGGCTACTCGTCTCACATTAGCCTGCTCTATTATTTCAGTTGCATCTAGATTGTCTACGACTGTCGCCTCATATTTAATATTTCCACAATGGAGGACAGCGGCTAGCAACTTTAAAATCTCCCATATTTCAGGTTCAGTAAATAATAATACTTTCATTGCTGACCGGATGTCAGCAAATTCAGCAGCATCGTCTCTGCCGTCGCATGTAAAAGTGTCACCCTGAAAAGTTATTATGAATAAATTAGTTCTACAATGCAACCTTTAACTAAATATTTTATAGTTTAAAAATAAATACGAGTAAAGCACTTAGTAGGTACCAAACGATACGATAACGTAGGTAAAAATGTTCTAAATACAATTTAAGAAATTTTTGGGACTCAACTGAGAGAGAGAATAAAATGCAAGCACTTGTTCCTCAAATAAGAGTAAAGAACATGCTAAAAAGAAATGCGATTTCTGGATTTATTTATATTTAAAAAAATTGCTGATGTAATAAAAGCTTACCGCAGTCAAATATCTATATTCTGATGGAGTTCCTAGTTCCAATTTCTTTTTTTCTTCTTTTGATAGACCGGCGAGTAGACAATAGAAAACATGATAGTTTCTCTCCTGTGTACCTTGAGAGACTATTCTAGACTTCTCTAATAAATACTGCTCAATTTTAGCGCCTTCTATAACACCATTATTGTTGAAATGTATGTCTATATATTTGCCAAACCGCGAAGAGTTGTCGTTCCGTACAGTTTTGGCATTACCAAAAGCTTCCAAGATTGGATTGGCTTCTAAGATCTGTTGAAAAAGAATTAAATTAAAGAAACTAAATATTTAATACCTACTGTAAAATTTTATTTGCGGTTATTGAAACCTTCCGTTTACACCGATATAGACTTGAAAGTCGTCTGTATGAACTTACTTGCTTCGTAAGTAGATTTTCTATGTATGGTGAGGGAAGGCAGTGCAATTACAAGATATGGAAAAAGAACATTTTATTGTTATTGTGGAATGGTAAACGCATGAATGGATTATGGGTGTCACTTGATGAAGTTATGTCCTTGGCGCTGTTCATGTATATAGGCTGATGTTACTACTACCACGTACCAACGGATGGACTTGACAATTACTATCAAATATATTTAATTAATTAATTGCAATATTTACTTTGACTATTCATTGTGCTCAACATATTATAAATACCTGTTGTTCTATCCACGAATGTTTCCCACTGATGGCTGCCAAATACTGCAGAATTAGCTTTGTGGATTCCGTTTTCCCTGCTCCTGATTCTCCACTGATTACGATGCACTGGTCCTGACTGTATCGCCGCATATGCGCGTACGCATTATCTCCTATTGCGAATATGTGAGGTGGCAATTCGCCGATCTTTCGCTCTTTATATAATTTGATCTGGTCTGCTGTATAAATTGGCAGTATCTGGTATGGATTCACGGCCACTAATATTGAACCAGTGTATGTCTGTAAATTAAGAGTACATAAATTTATTATTATTTGTATGCCAAAATGGAAAAAACTTCATAGATGAGTCGAGTCATCCTCTTAGTACTCGTAGCATCCGGCAGTATTACTTGTTATAGTTCTAAGACACATGCTGTAAAACTTTAATTTTAAAACCGAAGTTTTAACTCGTCTCCTTTTTCTATGACTATGATTTCTATTTCCTCAGATATAATCCTAATAAATAATTAGAATTTATTTTATTCTAATACCTACCTATAATTTATTCTTGATTATATTAATGGACGCATAGATTATGTCAAAAAATATATGATAAATCCATTTGTGTCTACTGAACGTGATTGAAATTCTTTTAATAATCAATCAAACTGTGCTAATTGACAGTAGGATAGGAATTAGAAGTGGCAACAGAGTAGGATAACAAGTTACTACTTACATAGATGAGATTCTCGTTGTATCTAATAAGGAGATTCCTCAATATGCCAGCCTCGTGTAGGTCTCCCAACGAGATCATGTCCTCGACGCCATGCACAGAGGTGGCGTGCATGGCTTTGATTCGCCTCTCCGGTGGTAGCCATTGTTCCTGACCGTCGTCGTCGCGGACCCTGATTCTACGACCCTCTGCAGCGAGTACGCGCGCTCCGATGGCCACATCGAATTCGCGCCCTGACACCGGTTCGATCCATATGTAATCGCCCTGCAATTTAAAACATAGCTAATAAGTAACAATCAAGAGGTAATTACAATGCTTGGAAACGTTTGGTGTTAATGAATGCATCATTAACACCAAAGAGTCTTTTGTCTTCCAGAAAATCAAATAAAACGTTTAAAAAATATAAAGGTTTAGTTAGATACTTGGTTCCCAGATTTTCTCCAGGATGAAATAACTATTCAATATAAATAAACAACTAGAAATTGAATAACAAGAAAAAGTTATGCGCAGTGAAATATAATTTTATTGGTCATTCTGTAATGAACTGATGAATTATGTTTCTACAAACTGTATCTTATACAGAAGTAGGTATGCAAGTATTCTAATAATATTACTGTAAGAAAGATTAAATTGGATGCTAGAGTGACTAATCGACATCGATCCGAAACCTCTATGGCTATTAGATTTGAAAAACTCGATTTCTTTAATGAAAACGTAGGCAAGTAATAAGAAGGTAGAATCTAGGTAAAACAATTTTTAAATTATAATTCTAATGGCAAAGAAAAGTACTGGTGCCGTGCCAGTAGCTTTATAAAAATAAAACTGCTAATTTAAGAACTAATCAATGATGATTTGCCGTAAAGTGACTACGTCTTTTAGAAAATAAGCTGCTAAGAATATATATTTATGACAAAGGTAATCGCAACAATCTTTTTAACAAAGAAAGGTAAATAAGATGCAAAATGTAAGCAGCGAGCAGCTGCATCCTTACAGATTCTTATCTGTCTATATCGTTAATTATCGGGGCTGACTAAGTGCTTAGAAGATACTCAAAAGAAAAATAAAATAATTATTAAATTCCGCTTTGCTTCATATCCACTTTATAGCACCTATGAGGATCTCATAAGACATGTGTACAGGTTGCCTCTTCATCTGCGCGATATTTATTCTGTACTTTGTTATACTTGTACTCACTTATCTGTACGTCCTTTTCTTTATTAATATGGTTGTCTGAAACCCTGGAACTTAAATATTTTTGTGCTATGGCGCAAATTTATCATAAAATTGTAAATAATTATTAATAATTTTGCCTATACTGTTAAAAAAGTGCCAGAACAAAATATGCATTAACTTTTCAGTCGCGTCGAAAATTACTTTCAAGTGAAAGTAATAAGTACATAAGCATGTACTGTTTTAGGTATGTATTGTTCTACATCGTTCATAAAACAAATAGGCATCTAGTGTCTTGCCTACCGAATGGAATAAACAATCAATATGGAGAAAGTAGTTTCGTCCTTGTTTGTCGATGCCGAACATTAATTCGTCTACCGGCATTCATACTGAGTGGCCATGTTATCTAATTTAAGTAGAAAGTAGACACTAAATGTGTCTATACATGGTTATTATTAGGTAGCTGTTACTTTTATACTATTTAATAACTTATTTTATTTTTGCGTGTGAGAACTCAGTTGAATGACAGATTTAAAAATAGATATCTATTTTCACAACAATATTGTACAGTTCGATTCTATTCACAGAATTAAATTTATACAATGTAGATTTCAAATAAAATTGTTGTAAAATAAATATACACGATAATACTGAATGTTAGAGTAGGGAAGAGGATTATTTATTTCTACTATTGCGGCAAATATTATAACCATAAAATTATTATATAAAATATTTGGTGTCGGTCAAATGTCATAGGAAGATTGGAGTATGCATGGCCCAACTAATGTATAGTATGCATGGCAAAACATAACTACATTTTTTATTATACCACTAACTAAAATTAAATATATATAATTATTTTAATAAAAAAGCCAGTTCTTCAGTAAATTATAGCACCTACCTCAAAAATTAAACCGGTTTCCATTTCACTTTATTACTATTAGTAATATTATTAACTAATATCCAAATATATCATAATTACACATAATTAATTTCATAGTAAGAATCTTGTCAGGGTTCAGACGTTACCTACACGTAAAAGGTAAAGTAGTCTAGTTTCTAAAGGGACATTAGCAAACTATTCGTGCACATTGTATGTCGACTGTTTGTATTAAAATACTAGTATCGGTGAATAATCGATAAGTTTATCACAATTAGACTGACCGCGGACCAACTGGGGTCGTATTGCGTACTAATACCTATTATAGATACTGTATGAATATTATTAAATTACGCTATTTATCTCATTTCATTCAGTATCTAATGTTAAGGCAAGGATCGATATTATGTGTTTGTCGCATGTTCATGTAGTTGATACAAAAGGAAGTTTTGCTAAATTAAAATTAACATTAAACCACTTTCACTATGACATCAGTTTGCTAGTAAAGTATACTAAATAGAAGTGAGAAACAACAATATATACAAAATATGTGTTGCTTTTTTTGCAAAATATAGATATAATGCGACCTAGAAACATAGAACTAAACAGACTGAAGGTAATATACAAAATATTAGTAAAATTACATGTTAAAAAGAAATCGAACTTTGGAATTGATATCCCAAAATATTCTGTGGATTCTCATAGTGATTCTAAGGACTTGTCATTCTACAAAAGTAAAATATGACTCATTAAACCGAAATATACTTTATATCTACATATATGCAATAAAGTAACAAACTTTAATCTTAAGCTGGTCTTAATTAACTTTCTAAATTATTTGTAATATCTCTTAAAATATGAAAGTATTACTAGTTATCTAATCATATCAATATAAATCAATTGACATATTAATATGCGAATGAATTATTGACATACCCAGGCAAGAGCATAAATATATTATATAATAGTATGATTTTTCTTAAACTATTTGTATACATTCACTTTCATTATAAACCTACTAGAGTATATAGCTTAAAAATATTATTATTTAAATTCATAGAGAGATGGCGCCACCTTATGATAAAAATTTTGATGTATAACTCTCAAAATATATAATTGTTTTAATCACCATGTCTGTTACTAATCATTCAAATGATATCATTTTAAATTAATTTAACAGGCTACTTTAATGCCACCTCATTTAATATTGTTTGTGACAAATTTGTTAGGTGTTCTGCAATAAAAATACGGTAATACACTAAGTAATACCATGAGGTAACTAATTAGTGTACTGCCGGATATTAAGGATTATACAAGCAAAATTATTCGAAGATATGACTATCTATTTGTCAGACTTTGAGTATTTAATGTAAGTAGTTGGAATAGCAAATCAGCTGACCGCCCACCTGATGGCAAGTGCTAACTAACAGCTTGGATATTCAGTACCTACACTAGTAGTACCACTCAGGCATTGGCTATTCCGGACTACTAACAGTTATTCCTTCGAACCAAATAGAAAACTATGTACAATATGTACCTACTATAATTCATAGAATTTATTTCAAGAAGATACAATAAACAGTACATATGCATATATAAAACTCCGCTTTGCAATCCAGTCTTTTAGTCTAGGTAGGTACTTGTTCTTTTTGTTGGGCAAATACGTAAACAAATGTGCATATCTTTTATTGCAGATGTTATATGACAAGTTGTCTAACACTAACCAACTCAAATATAACGAGTTTCCAAGTATTTGCAACAATGTAGAGAACAAATTTGCACTTGGCAGGTGACTCGTGATGAAGTTATTTGCACTCGATTCTATGAACTCTAGCAATCCGTCCTAGCTATACAAATGCAGTTATTGTAGGTAATTTAAAAAAAAAACTATAGCTAACATAAATAGGTTATAATGTACGTAAGACACTTTTTAAAATCGGTTATCCATTAAATAATGCAATAAAAAAAAATTCTTTATAATATTACTATAGCTCAGTTTCAAAATATACATTTCCAAAATTATATTTTTATAGTGTATAATTATACGTTACGGTATAGAAATGATGCTATCAGTATACTATGTTTGAAGTTACCATTAGGGTTCATTCACACAACACCGAGACGTCGGCGACGTCATAATTGATTATGTAGATATAGATTACTTTATTTGTTTGAATAATTAGTACGGGTACAATAGACAATTTACGAATACGTTAAAATACAATGTAGCTACAACAGAACTCACAAGAATCACGCAAGACTTTAAATATGATATGAAGATTTCTTGTGTTTTTAAGTAAAAGAGTGAGAACGAATGAAACTAATTCTTATCGTTAAACAGTTATTGTGATGTTTCTTTATTATGTTTTATTTCTTAAAGTCAACTAATAATAGAACATTATTAAGATTAAGACTATTTTGTTACCTTTTTTTAAGAAATCTGTATTAGGCTGCTTAAGTGGCGTCACGGAACTCGTATAGGTATAAATGTTCTTTTAGAATCCATTATCCCTGATGAATATAGGCGATAGTATATTTTAAAAAACGTTGGTATGAAATCTGTATGAAAAATTCGATAATTTAACAAAAAAATTATATCTCGTTCGCTGCGAGTAACTACTTATACTATAACTATTAACAATAGAGTGTGAAACAAAGTGAAATTTTATTGAGGACAGCAATGTAAGGGTTTTTTATATGTGCGTGCGTGTGTCTGTGTGTATTATAAATTTATAAGTTTTGAGGTTTTGGTTAAATTACCATGCGAATCCGGGGGAGCTACTGGGCTAATGGCGTTCATGACGAAACACAGATTGATAAACTGCTTTCGCCAGAATTTGGTGTAACAGAGGTACACAAATGTCTTTATATAAATTATAACTTTAAAGGATAAAATTTAAATAGAAATATTACTTACATAACGCCGCCGACATATCGTTTTATGTGTATTGTATTGTTGTGCACGCATCCTACTATACCATATATATCCTATTAAAAATATGTGATGACGTCAACGCTTAGTCCATAATTTTCAAGGCGAGTGTTACTTATAGGGTAATACAATCAACATTTCTCAAGATTATGTTACGGAACCCGATCGCTCCTAGTTTAGCTCCCACATAAACTTGAATTTACGATTCATTGTGTGCAAGCCCAACTACTCTCGCTCTCGTTTTGGTAATGCACACTGTTTCCCTTGTAAAGAAACTAACTT